TACGCGCGAACGAACAAGCAATATATTCTGTGTCCCAATGTAAGAGAAACATGTAAAAGAATTATATTGGGCCTGTGACAGAATGATCTGAACTCATCTCCTTTATGTAAAAGGAAACCATCCGGCGTCCTGGTGTAAGCAAAGCTAATAAGAAATTTGTATTCGGCTGAGGCTCAATATTCAAACATGAACACCACGTTTATTTAAAAAACGACTTGAAGAAGATGAAACAGTGTTATAATGGATGGGCGTGAGAGTTGTTTTCCATTTTTGTACAAGTAATGCACCATCGCCAATAAAATTTAAAAACTTTTGTTACGATTTGTGAGTAACGGGTGAAACTGTGTTCAAGATCTTGCAAAATTTCGTGCGAAGAATGTTCAGAACTTGACACTGACTAAGATCTCTGAAATTTTCTTCTGGATATTGCAAGCTTTTTGACAAAACTTCCTTCATTCGTTAATGAGCATAAAAAACGTTTAAGTAGTGAAAAAAATATTTCAAGGAAGTGTTCCGAATTTTCTGGCTGAATTGACTGGGCTATTTGCCATGGCAAATTAGGACAACTGAAGATGTTCGACAAACGATTTCAACTAGACAACAAATAAATAGACTTATTAAATACGAAGTTCTATAAGAAGCGTCCCAACCTTAACAAAAAATAGAATCTAGACTTTATAAACTCCATTGCATATTAAATAACGAAAACCTTTCGTTAATGGAAATAAAAGTATTGAAGCTTACTGAACTTACAAATTAATTATTGGCGGTATTACAGCTATCACGCAAGTCATAGCTTGCAATATAATAGTTCCGCTTAGCCAACTTATTGGATGCAAACGATGAGCCCAATAGGCATAGATAGTAGCGAAGACAGCCTGGAATATACCGCTGCTTATTAGTAGCCATTCTGTAAAAGAAAATATTTGGAATTTGGTACTTGTAATGTAAAACTTTTAACTTAATTATTGACTTTTTATACCCTATATTTCTTGCGAATCTATGTAATACTTAGAAAGACTTGAACTCTCCCTTTCTTACACCGATAGGTTGTGAATAATCCATTCGTCCACGATAAAAATCTGGATTAAAAATTTGGTATAGTTTTCGACCCTATAGTATATAAGAGATCTAATTAAAAGTAATTTATTTATACAGAAAAGGGGTCTACTAATGAATAATACTTTACGATGAAGGCAAGTTGTATGAGAAATTAATACAAAGTCTACATTTTGGACCTCACCCGCCCCCCGCCGACATACCTTTCTCATGAAATTTAGATTTTAGTATTACAACCAAGTGATGAAGAAAAGTCTGATTAACTGGAGAAAATTTTAGTAGCAAAGCCTATATTTTAGACCCCCTGAAAATATCTGAACAATAAATAATAGAATGATCAACAAGAAAATTTAGGTCACGTTTCCTACATTCTCCTCCCACACAAGGGCTTTCATGAGTAGTTCGCCATAACATGAAAACAAAGTATACACCAAGTAGTATTACACAAATGAATGATTACTTAGATCAGGCGAAGTGTTGTAGAACATGTAACAGGGTCTGTGTGGACCGACGAGAATGTTTGTACTTTTTTAAATAAAATTTTTACAACAACTGTTATGATCCTTTCCAGAACGACACTATATAAAAGAGGTCATCAAATCAACTCTTTGCTTTCGAACTAATTTGAAAATACTCTGATGTACACTCACCCACTAACAGGGCATTATAACCAATTTCTGCGGCTGCTTGCTTCGCTGATATGCGAAAGTAGGTCTCGCAGATACCTTGCAAGAAGCCAGTGCAAGCCAAAACAGTAACGAAAGTTTTGAGGCGGGCATGTCTTTGACATGACTCACCTCGGCACCAACCCAATGTTCGTAGACCACAATCTGTATTATCTAAAGGAAAAAAGTGATAAAAACTACTTTCACATTAAATTTAAAAACATACCATTGGCAGTTGTGTCGTTCGCATTGCTCATTTTTTAATACTTAATATTATTATACGGATATCTTAGTGGAATATTTGTAAAATTTGCAAAGATTTTTATGCTTTTAGATCGCAACAATGACTAAAAGATTTGTTCTCATTATTTTATTAAATTTGCGCACCTGTTCACATCACGTCGCGGGTAGTAAATGTGGGCTATGCTTACTTTTTAAAATTCTTTCAGATAAAAAAATTCGCTTATCAATATGCCTGTAAAAATGTCTGATAAGAAAATAACACTCAATGTTATGATGAAAGCTTTTCTCTTCTTCGACGTTCGTAATGTTTATAAACCTTTTCCCTCATATTTTTTTTTTCTGGTTTTATTAAATAATTTCTCAATAATTTACATTTAAAATTATTCAAGTTTTGTAGTTAATCTTCCGTTATTATAACTATGCTTTTACCAAAGGGATCATCGAAACGATCCACGGCACCGACATTCATTATCCAAACAACGCCGCATGATAATATACCCAATAGAATACTTGCTGATATAATGCCCGCTATAATAGGTGCGGTCAAGTAACCAACACAATGCCAAGCCGATGAAAATCGCAATTTCTTCATAGGCTTCTTGAATAGTTCAAATTGAAATCGTTCCAATTTCACAAAATGGCTTGTGTTTTCCTTATTATAAAGATATAGAACATGACAAGCATATGATATATCTTTCGAAAACGTAATTGGTTTCGTCGTGTATTTAACTCCGTCCATTTGAATGTATTTAAGTGTGTGATAACCGCGTTCGGAAGAAAAGTGTATTTCATTTTGAAAATGTTCGTCTACATTTAAGTTAACTATTGTTTCATCTACCTCAGCCGCTACATCGACACTTTCAATCTCTATATTCTCAGGATCGTCATCCTCCTTTAATAAGAATTTTTCCCAAATCATGGCAAATTTCTCATTAAAAACGAAAGAAAAATTTCCCAATTGTTTTGCAACAGCAACTTGACGTTTGACACGTTTGCCACGTGCTTGAACTTTTTGTAAAGCGGAAGATGGGTGCGTTGTGTACATGTAAAGAACTGGGCAGAGATTTAGTTGCCTCGTTATATTGCGAATTATTGCATCTAAAAACAAACACATAAATATCGTTAATACTTATTGGGGAATCCACCATCTAAGATTCAATAGGTTTCGCATCTAAGCTGCACGTGTTGTACGCTTTGTAGCACGTTTGCGAAGAATGACAATACTTTTCTACTTATTACTTAAGTTTTGGTAGTATACTAGACTTGCCTACATACCATACATTGTCTCGAAATGGCCGTCATGTACTGTTAATACGGATGATGAGTGCTATTAGACTAACACCATGTCTGTCCCTCATACATAAAATTGAAGTCACCACATTTCAAATGTGACACATATGCTTCTAGTTGCAGTGCAAGACACCATGGCATCGCAGATCGAGAGTAAATCAAAAACATTAGGACTTCGAGTTCTTTCTCTGCAAAACCACATTTTTCAAGCTCAACTTCTTTAGTTTCCTTGCGATTGCTTGGAAACTTTATAAACTTCATAAAAATATGGTACTCTGATGACTACAAGAACGATTCGTAGTTACTCTTACTGAGACGAAATGTTTAATAGACTATTTGAAATGATCTGAGCAACGGCATTATTCACCAATATTCTTAAATTTCTTCAGAAACAGATGTGAGCCATTTTAACGAATTAATTATAAAAATTCTTTTCGTAAAAGGACGTCAAATATAAGGCATTTTAGTGACGCTCGTCAACTTTGGACCCGAAATCATTTGTAGGTGTAATGCAAACGTCATCCCATATAATCCATATAATGTGTTTGAAGCGACTAAGGATATTCGTTTTTTTATTAAAAGCCTCAATGTTTTTTCTAATATTACGCTATTAGAAAATTTCACCAGTTAAAGAACATATATCCCATAGACCTCTGATGGTGGACATAGAAATAAATGAATTCAATAACATACCGTGAAGTTTGAAATTCGTTTCCTTTTCATTGATGCTTAATGAATGAAGATTGATTACGTATTTTAAGCCTTTTTGACAATCGATAGGTAAATTGAATTCGCTATTAGGGTTTAAATCATTAACTACGTAGGTTTGCAGAGCCCCTAATGGATTGTTAACTGTCATGTAGGTTTTATCCGGCTGACTTTCCATAAACGGGAAGCAAGTGCTCCCATCTAGACGACATTGAAAGTCCCGCCATGTAAGCTGGAAATGAAATTTTCATAAATATTTTAAACATATCAACTATAACCCAAAAGGTTTACCTGATTTTCTAAGAAAATGATTACCGTGTTATGCGGTAAGAGCGGATTAATGATATTTTCAAATTCTTTGGTTGAAATGGCTTGTAAAGCGGACTTTTCTTCACTACATAAACATAAACAGAGAATATAATAGAATATCGTATAGGAAATTGCAATGAAATGCAGACTTACAGCTTTGCGTTCCATATAAAAACGGGAACATTGTCACTGCGAATAACAATTATTTCGAAACTCAAGACAATTAAAATATTTATTTTAACGATATTCATGCCTAATTGGACGAAGCGAAATTTTTTTCGATATTTTTTATAAATTAAGAGACAAAATTATATGAACTTTCAAAAAGAAAAATCTACAGTTTTGAAAAACTGTAAGTATAATATTTGAAAAAAAAGGGGTAACCATTATAATGAAAATGTAATTAGTATAGGAGTAGTTTGTAGTAAATAAAGGTCAATGCATAACGGGTTTTGCTATTTTTAACTTCCCTGTCATACGATATTATTTTTTTCTTCTTTAACTTACAAATGAACCCAGAGTAAGTTTACTTGGCCAAACTCGCTATATAAAGTACATCTTTTAAACGATTTTAACATTGACGTGTAATTGTAATTGTATTGTAAAAGGATTGCAACTAAGGTTAAAGTACTGTTTGCAATAGTATCAAGAGCATCAACTATAACGTTAGCTTTTCTTCTTTTTTTTTTTTTGTTAGCTGCTTGTATTTATGATATTAAGCCATATTGAAAAGTCTCCGCGGTTTTCTGACAGGGCTTCAAGCTTCTCTTTATAGCCCCTTTTTCTGAAATTATTCCAAAGTGTCATGAGATTGACGTTTACTACCTTCGCTATGTTCTGAGAGATTCCGTGTAGGTCCTTCTTTCTATCAGAAATTGTACCTTCACCAAACGCTTTCAATAAATTTCTACACGCTTCTGTATCATTTCTTCCTTTATGGAATTCGTACAAAATACAGTGCCGTAAATAAACTATATCAGTAGCCATGGGTACACTATCATTTATACATCTATTTATACATTCAGTGACAAAAAGCGATAGCGAAACATGCGTCAAGTGAATTGTAGTTCTCGGAAATATAAACGTAGAGAATGAGCACAAATTTAGACTCAAAAACAGGTCTTTCATCCTTCGAATTGAAGACATTTTCGAATATGTACTCATTAGTACGATAGTAAGAGAAACGTAATGGTTTTAAGGAAAGTAACAAATCCTTACATTTTTCTAGATTCAAGAACGTGCCACTGATCAAGCATGAAAAGAGCAAATTTTTTAGATCAATGCCAAGTAGACAAGTCCAATTTTTTGACTTAAATGAAAAATACATATTTACGACTCGAACATGTTCAATGAACATATTAAAGCCATTGGCAAACGAAGCAAACACAAGTGAGCACTAGTGAGTATCCTGGCAACATGGTTCATCGGCTTTAGAGGGCTTTGTGAAACACCTGAGGAAAATCAGTATAATCCACATCAGTTTGCTTATGTTCCGAGAAGGCTTGAAATACACTACAAGTTAGCTCTAAAACAAAGATTAGCAGAAGTTGATCTCAAATTCTCGGTTTCATTCATTCGATCTCTATAAAAATCCCAGAGTATTCAAAAAAGATTTTCAAGTCGATCGAATTCACTGCGATTACACAATATAGTACCGTCAACTTGAAGAAGAAAATTAAGTTTGCCCTAAAGCGGATATCATAAGCAAAATGCTTCGAGCATCTATTGTAAATACTTTTATCTTTCATTCAATTTATGTCCACAAATCCTGATATTTAAAACTAATTGATGTTCCATCGACAGTTCATTTTACTCTTGTTTAGATAGTCTTATCTTATTTAGATTCTTGATTAACCCATAAATTTTAAAACGTACCTCATATCATACGAAACACACGGAATATATATATAAAATTAATTTAATAAACCAGCGCTACGTATGAGTAATATTTCTATACGAAATATTTAAGCTACTCTTACACTATTTCTCAAAAATATAAAACGAAAGCAACAACAATAAGGTACTCATCTGCTTTGCCCACCACTCATGAGAATTGTTTTTATTATCAATACTATGATAATAAAAAGTGTACACATACACCCACACACACACACACAAACATAGTTGACAATGCATTTTAATTCACAAACTAGAACAACAACTACAACCACTGATGATCGGTAATAAAATTTTATCATAGAGATTAGTATGCAATCATCAGAAACATAAGCGAGCTCGTGAATATAATTTTTAGTAATTATTAAAAAAAATATATATATATATGTACATATATATTTTATTAAAAGTGATTACAAAAACTGATTTAAGGCTTTAATATGAAGAATGTGAGAGTGAAAATATCAAAATAATATTTATATAATAACAAAATCTCAAGTGCGGTCGAGTTTTCAATAAAGCTGATGGCCTTAGATATGCTAGTGCTTTAACACTTTGCTCTTAGAATTTATTCTCGAGTTAAATTAATAATAATAATAATAATAGAAGTAAAGATCGAAATTTAGAACGATTCTTAAATGCTCAACATCCGCAAGAGAGTTTGTATAAATTGGAAGAAGTTAAGATTGTATTTCCGTTTAATACCTATTGTAAACGACAAGTGTTCGCGGAAAAACGTTAACTATCATTGATCAATCGATATGATCGATGTGTGATAATTTATTGCGTGTGGCATCATCTTCTATAGAAAGGTCTTTTGTTTATCGAGCCAAATGCGGATGTTTTTCCCAAAGTAAACTCCTAAGCAAAGTATCAAACTAAAGCTGAGGATGTGTTTTTAGGAATTGTGTTCTAGAATACCATGCTCTTCATTGCGCTGCTTTCCCTCAACCTTTCCCCCTTTCTCTCAGTTCTCTTCGAGAAGCAATGTTTTACAGGTAACAAACATAATGTATAGCCCGAATTTCCCGGTAATTAATGATCGCTGTTTATAAGGTCTTGTTGTAATTGGAAAAATTACAATTTTGCGGACTATAAAACGCAGTTCAAATTTTTTTTTTTTTTTTTTGTTACTTTCGGATCAAAAGTTTTATTTATCGTACTAGCAATATTCAGTTGATTTTCGGTCTCGGTGCTGTCACTCGTCTCGTTAATGTCATCTTTCGTATTGCTTTCATTTGAAGTATTGTTGCACTCCTTTCAAAACTCAAATTTAGAGACGAGCTATTGGAAAAATATGATAATCTTACCCCCGGATCGTAAGACGCACCCAAAATTTGAGTCAATTTTTTGCTTAAATAGGTACGTCTTATAGTCCAAAAAAGACGGTAAATATTTTTCTATAAGAAATTTGTCGCCTCTCAGGAGTAATTACACCAAATAATTTACCTTTGAAAATTTAAGCCAATCCACCGAATTAGACCCTACGGATAATAACTAAGAATATGTGTGTTCAGTTTCGATTTTTTAATTGGATTTTTATGATTTTGAGAATTGAAATAACAGACGAGAAATAAACGATATGGACGTACGGACAAAGCTATATAAATTCAATTTTTTCCGTTCTGTTACAAACGCCATAAATAAACAAATTAATATATAAAAAAATGTGTCACAGTATTACTTATAAAATATATACGTCTTACGTATGATTATAAGTAAAGACATTAATGATTTTTAAAAGAGAACTAATACCAATCATTAAATAATTTTGAAAGAGTCGTCTTTTCTTTTTCTTATTAAAAAAATGAAAAGCAACGTCTAGCCCATGATAAGATTATATTTTGTCAGCGATAAAATTTTGCAAACATTTTATACAATAAAGGATTTTTTTCAGTTCAATTGACAAATGATTTTGATTAGTAAATTTAGTAAGTAATGCGTTGTGAAATTGTTTAAAAGTGTTGTCCGCATTGTCGGACATAGAAAATTAATTGTAAATACTATAAATTACAAAAATATATATATTTAATTTAATAAAAATTTCAAAATATATCGCATTTAATATAAAGTGAAAATATCTTTTAAACAAAGATTATAATAATAAACAATTGTTAAACTATTGATGAATAAACACTAAATGATTGTAATTTGGATTTAACTCGTCATTGCTGAATACTTAAATTTCACAGGTGCCTTATTAATCTTCAAGAATAATTAAATTTCATGCAGATAAGATAAGCTACTAGTGATTTTTTGTCACATCGATTGGAAAAATACCTTAGCACCGATCAAAAGTTTTCTATAAACAATTTTTTAGATAATCATCACTTAAGAAAATTAAGTAAAAAAAAAAATCATGTTCGCTTTTTAAGAAATTTGTGAGTGTAACCTCCGAGGCGGAGCGTAGGCAAATTATAAAGTGCGAGCGTGTCAATGGGCCGGTTTTAAAAAAAAACAATTTATTTTGATCTTATTAGTTAAAGTTAAAACATATACAAACACATGCCGAAACTGTCAGTCTCGTTTTGCGTGAAGGAAAATTTTTTTTGTCAAGCTGTGTTTTTTCTTATCTCCCCAAAAGCTCTTAACATGGATGTCGCATGATTTATTCCTACCGCTGTTTTAAATTGTTAAATTTTTCCAAGCGGAGAACCAATCATTTGCCGGGAAATTGATGGAAATACACGGTACAATAGTGTTCGCTGCGATCTCAACACGGAAGGACTCAAATTCCATCATCTTTAATTACTTTGAAAGCTTTGCTATGAAATGTGCTAAGCATTTCTTTCAAACATACATCGCTGTTTATATATATATATTATATATTCTTTGCTTGTAAGCATAAAAATGAGTGCACTTCATGTACAGAAATCTCGCTCCATTGAGAGAAGATTTAATCCGATGGTTCTTGGTGTAAAATAAGTTCAACATAAAATGTTGCCGTTAGACAGCGGGCGAATCCTAATCGTTAAACAACTCTTGAAATGTGAATATAACGTCATGGATACGGACTATTTTTACCATTCGAAGGTGTGAAGAGGCCTTTCAAATTCTCTCAATGACTCCAGACAAATGTCGATTACTTTTCATTTCCATGATAATCTGTTTATGCTAATTATTCCACGTCGTGAACCTCTGCAGTAGTACTGCTATGCATAAAAGAAATTTTTTTAAAAAGGGAAACCTCTCCCAACGCTCTAGGTATCTTCCCTATAAAAATTTGCTCAGCACTCTAAACGTTGTCACCGATATAAGTTTATATCAAATGAATAAAATTAAACTAATCCAAGCAGGATTCTTGTGTCTTTTAGATCCTTCCTCTGGTCTTGCCAAAAGCGCTTGTTTACTGCTCGCAAAACCTAATGTAGAATGCTGAAGCAATTTTAAGTCTCCGTTGTTGACCTTCAGTGGACGTAAAATGTAGGCAGTAGACTGAGACTTCACAACTACTTTTTCAGTTACGTCGACAGACAAATGTGAAAACTTCTATGACGATCACAGCTACCAAGAAACTATCCAGAAATTAAGAAATAAAATTGCCTTATGGTAAAAAAAAAATATACGTTTAAGGAAACGTATGGGGACAAAAGCAATCAATATTTGCTTCAGCCGAAAATATAAATTTCTAGTTTTTATCCCTGGTATTAAGAATATATTAAGCTTGTGTGCAACCTCTAATACGACGTAAGATGGGTCAATCTGTCATTGTATTTGCCGATTTGAAAGCATTTCCTGAATCAATTTAAACATGTCTGCCCGTCTCCGCTTCACTTGTCTATCCATGTACTGTTGTGTTAAACCTCGCAATTCGCAATTGTCGAAACATTCTAAAATTTGACACATTGATGTATTTGAGCTCAAGGATTACCTCTATTGAAAATGGATTGGTTCTGAACGTTTTTACGATCACTTCATATGTTATAACTTTTTTAAACAAACAAAAGCATTATAGTAGGCCACTGCCCCTTATTAAATACCTTGCAAACCTTCATTTAATGCATATATTTACATAATCATTTTACAAAACATTTGCTACGATCCAAACCATTTTCAATAGTGTTCGTCCTTGGAGCAAAACTTGTTAGCGTGCCGAATTTCGTCTAAATATCTCAAGAATTGTGACCTGTAGATTGGAGACAAGAAAACAAAACGAGCAGGTGGACAGACAAATCTAAATCCACTCGAAAAAAGATTCTGAATAATAAAAGATGGGTCTATTTTAAATCCTTCAGGTTGTTGTACACATCTTCTCAAATTCAATATAGCTTTATACCAAAAGCGCCGTAGGGTATAAAAAGCGGTATCTAAAACAATCTTAAGGTGTTTAATAAAGTGTTTCGGGACAAAAATCGTTGAAAAATTTAGAAAGTGTTAGTGAAAATATTTTTTCACTTTCGCATGAATCCTTCTTCCTTATTACAAGAGCGATGTTTTAAATCCGCTGTACACGTATCGTATTTTAACTTCAAGTTTTTGGAAGTGATTCTATTAATGTGCTTTACAGATTAAATTCCATGTTTGCGCAAAAATATTTAGTTTACTCCAATTAGCGTAAAATTTAAGAAGAAAAAGTAGAATTTAAAAGTTATGCCAGCCGCTGTGCTACAGCAACCACCGGCCCATCAGTTGTGTGGCTTAGCAAATTGTCATCCGCAATGGATGCAACGGTTCGCCAATACGAAAACGTTTATGGCTGTTTACAGTTTATTGGGCACCACGCAGGCCATGGCTTATATGTATTTTGTGGTCACACTAACAACAATTGAGAAACGCTTTAAAATTCCCAGTCAAACAACAGGTCAAAAATGTTTTACTTACCTATCATTCATAATAAATTCAATTTACAATTTTTTTTAGGCATTATACTCAGCGGAAATGAAATTTCTCAGATATTACTCTCACTAATACTCTCGTATATTGGAGGGCAACGTAATCGGCCGCGTTGGATTGCCTGGGGTATCGTATTCAGCGGTTTATCCTGTTACATATTAGCTTTGCCTCATTTCATTTATGGCGCCGGAGAAGATGCTTTAAAATTAACCAAAGAATATTATGGCGACATGGAAGAAGATAACATTAATGTGACTATGTCGTTGGTTGTAGGTGAACATTGCTAAATGTTATCTCATTTTTATGCTCAATTAAAGTCTGATCTCTTTTTGTCTTTCATAATTAATAGAAATTTCATTTTCTTAGAATTACACTCTGAAAAACTCTCAACAATTATGCGGCTCCACGAAATCGAATCAGGAATGTGAAACATTGCTATCGTTTGTACCGTTGATATTAATATTTCTATCGCAATTTGTTTTGGGTATCGGTAATACACTGTACTATGCTTTGGGTCAAACCTATTTAGATGATAATACAAAAAAAACGAATACACCTTTAATGTTGGCCTTGGCCATGTGCTTGAGAATGTCTGGCCCAATTGTGGGATTCTTTTTCGGTAATGGAAAGAAATTTTACTCAAATTTAAAATTTGTTTCACTAATAAGCTTTCAATTTAGGTTATATTTCTTTAAATATGTTTATTGATCCGACTAAAACACCTTTAATCGACAATAAGGATCCACGTTGGCTGGGAGCCTGGTGGTTCGGTTGGATGATCTTGGGTACTATGATGATATTATTTTCCGGTTTAATTGGCTTATTTCCCAAAGAGCTACCTAAGAAAGTCAACACTAAAGTAACAAATTCTGAGATACCCCGAGTACTGCTAAACGATCATACAATGGATGATGACCTAGGATTACCTTTAGGCAGCGCTTTCTCTTCGAATACCACTTTAGATGTGCTGCCAGCGGGCACCTCAGATTTACCAAAACTAAAAGGTTAACAAATTCAACATAATTCTTGAATACTTTCTTCTAATACTTTCCTTTACATTGTATAGACTTCCCTGCAGCCTTAATGCGTTTGTTGCGCAATAAACTTTTAATTTACAACATCATCTCAGCTATTTGCTATATACTGGGTGCTGCCGGCTATTTCACATTTCTTACGAAATATATGGAAGTTCAGTTTCATAAAAGTGCTCAAGGTTCAACAATTGTAGTAGGACCCGCTTCGGTGGTAGGTTCAGTTGTGGGTTTAGTGGCTTCAGGTCTGGTTATATCAAAACGTAAACCTTGTGCTAGTAAGGTTCTCTTCTGGAATGTTATAGTGGGCTGTGTCTATATACTGGGACAAATATCGTACATGTTTCTCTACTGCAACGATTCAGTGATATTAGATACGCATGGAAAGTAAAGTGATAAAGTTAATCCATATATAGTAATATATTTCTAAATGTACTCCTTATTTTAATCATTAGATTAAATCTCACGAGCACATGCAACGCGAATTGTTCCTGTAAAGATGTCGCTTATGCGCCAATATGTCACGAACCGTCAGAAAGAGCTTATTTTTCCCCTTGCCATGCCGGATGTCGCTCATGGAATTCCGAACATAAAGTGAAAACTTTTTTATGCTTACATTTATACAAAAGATTTTTCAATGTTTTAATTTTTTTTTTCTTAAATTACAGTACTATTCGAATTGTTCTTGCCTAACGGCGGATTTAATCACCGAGAGTCATAAACAATTTTCAAGAAATTATGTTACTTCTACATCGTCTACATTAGACTCATACTCAACCGCCGTAACGAGCTTATTCTCCACCGATCTACCATTAAAAAATGATTTAACTTCCGAAAAATCTATTCCAGGCATAAGTCTATCCACTATCAAACTCAAACCAGGTGTTTGCCTTCAAGGTTGTAATACGGCGTTTTGGGCATTTTCCATATGCACACTAATAGTAAATTGGTTCGGTTCGTCGGGTCGCATTGGTAATATATTGGTTAACTACCGAGCTGTCTCTCCGAAAGATAAATCATTTGCTCAGGGCTTATCATTGATGATGATAAGCTTATTTGCTTTAATACCGGGTCCGATTGTATATGGTCGAATTATAGATTCAACTTGTTTAGTGTGGACTAAAACATGTACTGGCACTGGGAATTGTCAACTTTACGATCAGACGACATTCCGTTATGCCGTCAATCTATTAGCGATTGGTAAGCATTTTCTGTCACTTATGTTTCATTATTCAATTAAATATAAGAAAAATATATATTTATATTTAAAGCTTTAACTATTGTTGGGGTCATTTTTGATTTTCTGGTTTGGTCTAATGGTCGTCACTTGAATTTGTACAGCGACCAAGAGGTGCAAAATAGTAGAAAAATGCATAGCAGAGATAAACCTATCACACCGTTGCTAGCGAGAAAATGATAAGGAAAAGCATTAATTCAATATTAATTTATTTTTTTATTAGTCCTATGAACTAATGTTTTCAGTTTTAAAATGCGCATAAGGCGTGCATGCATATATGCAATAGATTTTAAGCACAGAATATCTCTATAAGTATGTATTAGATTACACTATAAATATGCACCTATATATATATGTATCTATATATATATATATATATATATATATATATATATATATATATATATTGTAAAATAAGTCTCTTGTTTGTATTAATTTTATATGATAACTATAACATGTACAATCTATCGAGTAAATAATAGCGTGAATAAATGTATTTTCGGAATGTTATAGATAATGGGTAAAGACTCCTTGTTACTAATCCATGTAAGTAGAAGCGCGCCGAACGGTCACAGTCACTTCGCCTATTACCATTCTTCTCATTATTCTTTGTTTTTACATACGCAGGCTTTCTTTTCTTGTGACCTCTTATCCGCGGGGGGGCGGAAAACTCAAAATGAAGTCGTCCAAATTTTGCAAACTTAATTTTCATGTCAAAGATCTTTTTATTCTTCGCCAAGTTTGCTATATATGTGTCATATGAAGCTTAGTTTCATGTAGGTTGGTGTTGGTGGTATATGGGCCTGAATTTTGCTAAAGTTAACTTTTATATAAAATTGCCGTTATGAATCAATGTTAGTTATGAAATATTGAAAATTATACCTATTTAGCATATAAAAACTTGTTTCTAATATGAATTCTATATTAAAAATCTTCTTACCACTTACCTTTTGTTACCACATAAAGGTGCAAAGACCTTTCATGGGAACCTTAACATGCGGGGCGTCTAAAGACTAAATATTATTTATATGTCAGGTTACTACTGACAATCTTGCAAGACAAAAAAATGTGACTTTGCTTACAACCAAGTAGCTTTTAGCCAGAAAATAATTATCATATTCTTTCGGTGCTATGCCTTCCAGCATTTTAATACCGAAATTATCTTTTTCATCCTCGCCGTCAATATCCACGCCCGCAAGGCCGTGGCCCATTTCAGCTAACCATTTGACGCAGTGCACTAAACCACGTTTCTGACATTCCACTGTCTTAACTCTCTTTTAGCGTCGAGTACGTTAAAGAAGTCATCCTTCATTATTTAACAAGTTTTAAACCTCTAGGAAAAAGCTGGAAAAAGGAAAGTAATTAATACATACATAATTATAAAGAGCGAGTTATTAAGCGCTGCTTACTCGAAAACCGAACTGTCATGTTGATCACCCCATATTAAAATTTCCGCTACACTTCTGATCGTTGTTTATAAATTGAATAAATCGATTATATTTAGCAAGGCGTGGCGATGAATCGCCCACGCAGCCTAGGTCTACATATAGAATGAGTTAAACATTTTATGTAAAAATATTAGATGTTTAGTGCTTTGCAAAATACGCGAACTAAACTTATTTAATTTTACAAGTTAGCCGAAAAGTAGACCGCCATAATTTTTTTTTATTATCAAATTAAACAAAACAGTAGCTAAATTTTCTGCTATTTTCAGAACGAACGTAATAGTACTCTATGCTAATTTGCAAAGCCGTCGGCAAAAGTCCCCAATTTGTTTCATAACTGTAAGCTCAGCAAAAAATGCAAAACTCGAATTTAATGTACGACGACATGTTGCAAAACTGATTTGCCACTAACTTATGTTAGTGGCCCATTTAAAAGGAAAAAGTTTTTTGCCGCAATTTCTTTGAATTTAACGGTTTTAATTTTTTTCGACCAACTTATGAATTCCCTTTGATATAGTGATCAATTTTGAATTATTCTATGATATCTTGACACCTAATGAGGTCACTTTATAATAAATAAAAACAAAAAAGTGTACTATAAAATGTGTATGGTACTGTTTGTTCAAATTTACTTAAGTTGAAAGTATAAATACACGCACGGAGAGAGGAAATGCAACTCTGAATATAGAGGGTTTCTTAACGCATACTTATTGACAGAGTAATTTTCTTAACGTGCTCTAAAATTTTTTTTTTTGCTTTTTGACAAATAAACATTAATGGCTGCCAATCCTATCGTCGGAAGAAGCAGCAGTGGGATTTTTTTTTGGAAATTTCGCTCCAATTTGCAAAATATCCGAGCTAATTCGGATTCAAGTGGTGCAGAAGTTCATTAAGCAAAGCTCTGCTAAAAATTTAGAGTGTTAAATAAGCCAATATGTGGCCACAATCGTTGCAGATGACCAGGGACGAATGTCGAGGTATATTACGGAGACTTGGTAAGTTTTCGTTCGTTTCGTGTGCTGTACTACATAAAAGTGCTATGCTTTTTGGGTGCTGTCAGCGGCTCGAAGCATTCTTTACAATGAATTTTTCATGAAGTTAAAATTTATTGATGTTGTGTTCTTTAAATTATAGAGCTGGAGTCTTATTCTCAAGTTATAAGTGTCTTTCGCGCTCAAGGAGGATTAAGTGATGCAAAAGCAAAATTGCTAGAAGAACTGCGTGCGATATTTCATATATCACAAGAACGTCATAGGGCCGAAGCACGACGGGTAGCGAATGATGAGCAGCTAGCAACCATAGCAGAATCGTATGTTTGTGATTTTATTATAAACGCTATGATAAATAATTGATTTGCGATTGTAGCATCTCTGGTCCTAATACTTGGCAGGAGTGGTCTCGGGAGGGAAGACGCCCATATCCGATGCTACCCCGTGTAGCGCCAAAAACAGCATTGGTTCTTATAGCAAATAGCATTGCAGAAGAAACAATGTCAGAAAACGCAAAAATTCCTTACCCTTCCGAAACTGGCGAAGCAGTAAAGGAAGAACAACGTGAGTCGTTAAATGAGACTTTGGAACGATCGAACTTTGTTGTTTCTGGCGACCCGGTAAGCTTTCAATATTTTATATAAAAGATGGTCCATGTGTAGATATTTATTTGTTATATAAGAGTAAATCGTCTTTACAAATTACACCTGTTAGAAGAAAAACGTTTCGCATGTTCGATTATCTAAAATTCAAATTCAAAGGTTGAATTTGAGAAATTTTGGCTAAGCTTGTTTTCGTGTAATTTGTATCTCTTAATTTACATCTAAATAGTGCTTCATTTTTGTTCGAACTAAAAGAATATGTTCATTCACAATGGGATATCTGCGATTTATAGCACAGGGTTGTATTTTATTAATTTGTTTGCATTTATATACTTGATGCATTTTAGCGTTACTAACTGAATTATTTTTTACTTAGCTTTTAAATGCATTCGTTAACTTTTAATAATTTCTACAATGTAGTTTAAAGTTCCCGAAATACCTGCAGCTCATAAGAGGAATCTTAAACGCAATATAAGTGAACAGCATGCTGTTATTGGTAGTAAGAAACGAGCAGTCTCTAACAATTTACAGAAGAGCTTAACAAGTCCATATTATAAACATCATCATGTAACCGCGAATTCTATGCAAGGCAATAGCACATTACCCAACAGCGCAAAGAAAGCAAGTTCTATACAAAATAATAAAAATTTGCAACAGCAGCGTTACTTCCATCAGCAACAGCAAATACAAAAGCAAAAAATGGCAAAAAAGATGACGAGTAACAATACAAACCCCACAATTGGTAAACGGCACGTTACACCAGCTAAAAGTGGGCGGCGGGTACAGAAAACGGTAGGAGAACAACATGTTTTAGCTAAACAGCAAGAAAGACAAACGGAAATTCAAACTCATTTGGATTTATCTACCCCAATTCAACATGAATTACCAGGCACACCGTTGGATATACAAAAATTTGTTGGATATTCACCGCAACCGCAGCTACCACAACAAATATTTATGGACAGCAAAGAATGCACGGACTCTACTCCAGTGCTTATAACTACAAGTGGTGCGCCACAGACAGCCGTTTCCAAGCGTGATATAACTACGAATATAAGTAAACTTCAGATGCAACAACCTTCGGGGTCTTCTATAACTAATATAGCTTGCGCCCCTTATCAAACAGTGACTGGCATAAGCAATACTATACCAGCGGGAAAATTAGAAAAATCTTTGATAACACCTGTACAAAAATATATTGTAGAAGATCGCCAAACGGCTTCAGGTGTAAATAATGTACTGGCAAGCTCTGGGAGCTTGGTAAATATAACAGGAATTCAAGCGCAAAGTGCATCGGGTCATCTAATACAAGTATCGAACGCGGGTGTGTCATCAAAAGTTGTGACAATGCCACAATTTTCAGCAGCTCCTACTAAATTACGTGCAGCAAGTACAACAATTATTACGCCTGGAACGAAGCTTTCTTCAACTACTGGGAAAAAGATAACGTCTCTAAGTCCTGTGTTATCATCGACAGGTAATCCGCAAATTAATGCGGCCGCGTTGCACGAATTAGCTAATGTAGCAACCAGTCAAACACAAGTTTTCAACTTGATCGATACGTCACCTAATGCTAATATATCCCCCAACCAGACGGTTGTTCCTCTACACACTCCGCCTGCCATTATTCAACTTCAAAACACATCTAATAATAGTGCGGGGGAGCATATAATGTCTTCGCATGGAAAAGTTTTGACAACAAATATTTTACCAATTGTTTTAAGTTGTAATACAAGTACCAGCAGTGTTAATACTATAGTTGCGAGCTCAGCTCTTTCTACGTGTGGGAATACAACTTTAACAACTACTACGTCAGAAGGAGGTCTTGCTAGAAGCTTTCCTTCCGGAGTAGTCTTAAGTACAAGTACCAGTAACGTAGTTCCGGTTAGTCTATCAAACAGCAACTCGGTAATTTCCACGTTAAGCGCAGGAGCTACAGTGTTTCGCAAAGCTCCTAGCGTAATTAAAACTTCAATGGCTAGCACGACGCCTACAAAATGTAACGCAGCCCATATTATTAGTAACGTCAAACTTACACCTGTTAGCGTTAACACTTCAACGAGTACCAACAGCCCGTTCAAATCGGTCGTACCTTCGACAACAGGAATGGTACGTGCAAGCGTAAAAATTTGTCAGTCACCTAATGGCAAAGTATTTATTCAACCTGCCAATTTAGTAGATGGCTCAAAAGTATCACTAAACACAAGTTCTCTACAGCATAAAGTAATTTCCGCTGGCGTTGGCCATTCTTCTCCAACTCCCATTTCTAACGCAGCAAGTGGGCAACGGATTGCCATTCAAAAGGTACAAATAATACCCGCTTCCTTAGGATCACCTGCTGCAGGCAACAATAATTTGAGCCCTAAACCGGCAACTTTATCTCTTGCATCTGGAACGGGATCACCTACGGGTAAAAGTAACATGATAATTATGCCAGTCTCAACAAAGGGTGCGGTCAGGCCTGTTACCATAGCTAAACCTAGCAATAATCTTACCTTAAAAAACACCAACCATGCACAGTTACCCAACTCTTCCCATTCAGCCGTTGAATCAGTTAGTGCCGTTAATGCTAATATTTTGGTATTGAGTAATACTACATCCCTTAAAGAAAAAGTTTCCTCTGTACAGTCTAAATTTGATAGCAATCAGTTGTTGAATGAAGATGCGCCACTTGATATTCTTAATATGCCTATTGTAATGGATTCAGGAATTGGCTCTAATGAAACAGTTACAGTATTAGGAACTAGTGTCATGAACAGATCTGTGGCTACCCCAATTATTGTTGAGCATTCTCTGCATCCTCGAAATATGTTACTGGGTGCCACTGATTGGGAAATGGAACTGGATCATGCAATAACGACAGCCGCCAACAACAACAACAATAACAATAATTTCAAAGATCAAAAAACCTTCAATTCAAGCAAATCAAAATCTACTATTTCGACACATTCTTGTCCTACAGTAACAACGCCAATATCATCAGGTCACAAGCAGCCATATTCTTGTCCAGAATATCCTAATGATGAGATGTCCAAAGATAAAGCACCTCACGTTATATCCTCCAATATCATTGTAGATGATAGTTTTGACGATGTAATAGTTGAAGAACGGGAGGATGAAGACGAGGAATCGCAGAAATCATTGCAAATCCATGATAATGCCAAAATTCTTGGTATGAAAATATTCCACCATCCGTCAATAGATATAGCAGATCGGAATCTGACTACGAGATCAGTTAATGACAACAAACTACAAACGTCCACTTTAATATCGTCTATTGAGGACCAAAAGTTCAACACTACTTCAGTGGAGCAAATGACATCAGCTTTGATGTCCATGACCTGTGCAAACGTGCAACAATCTAGTGAAGTTGACGCCGGTTTCGATGAAACGATAGGTATGTATACTCAAACAAAATGTGCTAATTTATTTGAAATAATCAAAATAAAAAAATAGGATAAGTACAGAATATGCACAATGATGAATAAGTTTCTAAGTTTCTTTTTGTCCAATATCTTTCACTTTGAATATATCTATAATATAGTTACGGAAATCGATGAAAATACAGCTATCGAATACATAGAGGAAGATGGAGCGCATATGCCTGTTGTAAGTTCGTGTCATTCAACTGCTGACAAAGGGGAAAAGACAACAAAACTGCCAGCCTTATCAACAAATGACACTGTGGACAATGCAATTTTAAAAATCTCAGCAACTTTAAATAATAGCTATAGCCATCCACTTGTTTTGCAACCGGTCGCTAAAAGTGGAACCGCCACAACAACTAAAAATAGTATAACCTCCCCGTCTACGACGACTATTGAAAAAAATTCAACAGTGCAACAGTCGTAACGTAATCAACATAGCCTATAGCCAATTGTAATAGTTTACCTGTTGAACTTTAAAATAGGAATAGGAAACAGAATAATGAGAATATTTTTAAGGCACGTCACTTTCTCATAGAAGTTACAATAACAGAGAATGTGATAAAGAGAATCGAAAAACATAACGCACATGTCCTCATTTTACTCAATAACGTGTATTTTCATTGTTACTTTTTAAATGCGTTTCACTTTTAATTTGATAAAGTTTACATTATTATTTTTTTTTTTTTTTTTTTTGCTCTTGTAAATATGTCTATTTCTCACGTTACGTTTCTGCTTTCCTTTATTTTTAGTCCATTTAAATGTATTTACGGCGTTTTTTATTTTTCGTTTGTTATTATTTAAGTAATAGTGCTCGCAAATTTGGTTTAGTCGGTTGCTATCTTTTCCTTTCCTAAGGAATAATAATATTAAAATTACGAAATTCAAATTAATTTATAATTCAACAAAGTCTAACATATAAAATATGCGGTTATTGTAAAAAAAAAAAGCAAAATCATTTTAAAGGAGATTATAGGTTAGAATACTTATACTTATGTTATGTAGGTTGCGAATGGTTTTTTGTAATATTTAAAATTTTTTGGTTGACATCTCCTTAGAAAATGAATATTTATTACTTTCATTGTAAGTATAAAGGCTTAACTTACAAAATTTTTCCCCTTATAAAGGTAATATAAATTAAAATTGTATTTCTTTCATACTCACTGGATTTGTTCTACAATTCCGGTTAAATAAAGTCGAAGTAATATGTGTCTGCTTTATTTTTAAGCATTTTAATCCCTTTAATGTGAAGTTTGTTATTAATATTGTACTAATTTTTTTTTTTTTTTTTTTTTTTTTTGTTCAATAGCAAGGTTGGGTTATCAAAGTTCTTGCAATAGTTATACTGAAATATTAAAGTTGCTATGTGAACTATGAACAAAAAAAAAAAAATATTTTTTATACCTGTTTTTTAAAAATGCCTAAAATATTTTTTGCAAAGTTTTAGAAAAAAAAAAACAATGTCACTCGTTCTCGTTCATTATGGAAATATAAGCATAATTTACATTTTGGTAAAGTTATAATAAAAGTAAACGAAAATTTTCAAATGGATATTCTTTAAAATTAAGCGATGGCCTCAACTTTTATTTTATCTAACTTGCTATTATAAATAATTCTTTATATTCTAGTCTAACCACACTATTACTTATTTCTTTTGGATTAGCCTTTGTCTCGCTCCACATATGCGAAACTAAAAAAACAAGTAAGAAAGCTATATTCGGCGCAGGTCGAATCTCGCATACTCACCACTATATTTTTCGCATTCTACTGTCCAAGTTTGTTTTGTTTGATACCCATATCGCTAGTATTATGAAGAAGAAAGTAATCGTGGTGTCTACCATACCTATTCTTAGCTATATAGTATATCTTCATTTAAAGAGTGTACAATATAGTTCTAAACATGCGGTCTTGTTTGCCTTATAATAAGTAAGCATAAAAGTTCAAAAAAGTGAAAAAACAAAATTTAATCACTTGCAACCTTGTGGGCATGGCGGATGTTTTCCTTATTTGCACATAAGAAGTAGAGTGCATCGCAAAGTGAGCGTGGAAAATATCAGCCTTTTTAACTTTTATAATTTTCGAGCAACGAACAAAAATCCCAAAATTTTTGCTAAAAAAAACTGAGTTGCGTTCAGTTTATGCTCGATCGCGCTTCCGCTACGACCGATTTGGCCCAATTTCCATACCAACCTGCGTGCAGAAATTTCCAATGTTTCTATCAAGTTTGAAGTCAATATCTTCATTTTTGTTATTAGGACAGTGCCAACAACGCACACCGCACAGACACACAAACGCACAGACATGCGTAAATCAAGTCAGAATTTTACGCTGATCAAGAATATATATAGTTTATAGGATCTCTGAATCTTGCTTATGGGTTCTACATACATTGTGGGGAAAAAAAATAAGTGTAGCTCCACCTTGCAGTGGTGGCTATAAAAAGACAAAACTTCGACACTACGATGTGAACGTGTCTGCCTACAACTAATGTATCTTCGTCCGAAAAATGTAGGCGACAATTTTTATCCATTGTAATTATGAGTAGTGAGAAAGTAGAAGTGTTTTTAGTTTATATTGTACTCTTTTTCATTACCAGCCTGGAAGAATGTTTACCACAGACTTTAGAAATGAGCTGTTAAGGCGGACAATGTACACCGTTATTAGATATCTGGAGCTTTCTTCTTAATATTCTAACAAATGAATATGCTCCTAATTTTGGTGGTGGACGTAAAAATGAAATGTTTTCTTATACAGTTTAAGCCGAGCATACAGCCGTCTGAATTTCATTTCGATATACAAAGTACACCCGTTGAAGGCGAACATAATTCATTAATTCAAGTATACATAACGTGGATCGAAGATGACTGTCACAAGGTGAACATAAAGTGAACTGAAATTTATCGTTGTTGCGATTTACACCCTATATATTATTTGAAATTTACGCTTATGAGGAAGTTGCTCAAAATTAACTCCGTGCAAATATATTTGCTCTTCTTTTTAATTGAGTTTAAGAAACTACTTCTGACTATGTTCATAGGCTGCTATACCCGTTGCATACTTTTATTTTCACATTCAATAACGGTAGTAAGTTACAAAAGTTGAGCATAGTTCTTGATGCTGTCTTCAATCCATTTGTCGAAAGCAGAAGTCCAAGTATAAACAGATGGCATTGTTGTACTGGCACAAGGTTGGTAACCCCAAGATACAATGCCAACTAATTCAGTACCGTCAGGAGTGATACGCACCATTGGACCACCGGAATCGCCATTACAGGCGCCATCAGTAGCGCCAGCTGTGTAGGAACAGATATTGACAGGATCTAAAGGATCATCGCTGTTCAGAGCGTTCTTGCATTCTTCGTATCCAATAATGTCTACATCCAGAGTGTTCAGAATGTTAGGTGAGAAGCCGGAATTGTCTAGTCCCCAGCCATACAATTTGCCCTTGCCAGTAGACTCATATTTGCCGGTTGGCAAATTCACCTTGGCTACTGCAGCTGTTCCGTCACGAGTTAAGGCATTCAAATTGAATGGTTTATCCACGTAAATGAGACCAATATCGTTGGGACCAACGCCACCGCCATATTTTTCATGGACAATTTGTTGATGTTTACCAGTAACCTTGCGAATTTGAACGTCAGACTCATCGTTTCGCGAATGTAATCCAGCTACAATTTCGAATTCATCGAAGATCAAGCAGTGACCCGCAGTCAAAACCCAGTTCTCAGCAATAATAGAACCACCGCAGAAATGGCCTTTACCGGCCTTTAAAGACACAATAAAAGGAGCTTCACCTTTGTCGGCCTCATGTCCGTTAATAATGCGTCCTGCCGGAAAACCTGGTTTGGCGATAGCATCCAAGTTTGCCGCACTCACACTAGCCACACATAAAGCGAACACTGCAAAGAACTTCATGATGATCGAAATTGTACTGATATCTTTACTAACAAAGATCAGTTTATATACATCGAAAAAATCTAATCTTTCGTGTTCAATTATGCGATTTATTACCGTTATAAGCAGTCTATAAAATTGTTCAAATTAATAAATAAAAGTTATTTTACTTCATTTAACTTCTTATATATTTTGTGCGGATTAGAACAATAAATCTTACGAGCGAGAAATTGAAACACTTATCTATAAGTATATATTTCTTATATCTATAGTGAATCACAGAATTGCATGAATTCATTCGTTCGGATTTTCGTTATCGATTTGAAGAAAAATCACTATAAAAATTAGAGTGTTTCCTTACCCGTTTGCACCCTACTTTCATTTGTCTTGAACTACTCATGTAAATTTCTAAGGCAACGCTATTTTACGGTATGGGTTTGTGTATTAAATGTGATAGACTTTTAAGGGCTTAGGAGAGATGATTAGGCTGCACAGTGCAACGCCAGTTTTCCCATTAGGCGCCTTAAATTAAAAGGATTTCAAATTTCTCTTAGAAAGAACCAATGCGTTCGGTAACTCCTTTAGCAGAGTAAAGTAAAATCGATTTAAAATTCGCGTATAAAATAATTAAATATGTTATCATAAACAAAGACGTGCTGAAGCGGGAAAGTCCCCTTTAGCTCATTTAACATCTAATAGGAAAACGGCGTTTTTTTTTTAAATTTATAAAATTTTCATTATCAGTCGTTAAGTTGCTCGAAGATGAAACATAATGAACTAACGCTGCGTAACTTTCCTACAATTTGTAATTATTTTTTGCTTCAAACAAAAACAAAAGAAAGTTAAATTCGGCGGAGGCTGAATCTCGCGCACCCGTCACTATGTTTGTCGCATTCCAAGTTCTCCAAGCTGTTCTATTTGATACCCATATCGCTAGTATTATGAAGCAAAAAGTAATCGCGGTGTCTATCATATTCATTTTAAAATTTACCCATTTTTAGGGAGATAATATATCTTCAGTTCAAAGTAGTGTACAAAATACTTTTAAATATTCGGTCTTCGTTGCCTTATAAAATAAATGAGCATAAAACCTCAAAAAAATGAACCACAACAAAATTTAATCCGTTGTAACTTTGTTTTTTTATCCTAAATAACTATTATGATCTGATTTTTATCCATTGAAAATTGGACCTTTTCTTCTCGTATGAAGTTCAGTTTTCGTTACGTGATAGGGGATTCAAAAAATTGCACCAACCGGACCAAAGTTTTTATGCGAATTTGCAGTGACGAGATACTCTTGCTCAGCCCCTTTTGTTGGGAAATTTGGAAAATTGAAAATTTTTCCATGTAACGAACTTTTCAAATAGAGCGTTATATGGAGAGCGTTCGAAAAAGTCACAATCAAAAATTGTGACTTGTCGTTTGGCCACATATGCACATACACACAAATTTACATGGACCGGCATCAGGCGAACGGACAGGCTTAGATGATTCTGCAACGTTTTCTGAATCGATCGGTGTAAAAAAAGAAGAGTCTATCTTAATCGTTTATGTGTGTTACATACGTATAATGTATAAGAAGGAGATGTGGCTCTATTGTGGTACATATTAATGGCCATATTAATGCCAATAACACTTCTAACCAAGCTCATACAAACCAATGTTCGCTTTTCTTCTTAAAATCCACTGTACTTTTTGTTGACATATCTTGAAGATATACATTTGCCGGAGAAACGTGCGTCATAAATTAAAAATTTTCTGAGACAAGAACAAAACTTTTCTTAGAAGTAAACGAATTTTTTATTGTATTTTATTATATTTTATAAAGTTAAGAATGGATGAGATTTTACGAGGAACCGCGACGGGTGACCGCGTATCGTCATTTGCTGGACGTGCTTCGGAGCGGGGTTCCGAACGTAATTCAAAATTTATACAACTGAGAGGCATGGATCCGGAAAAAAATGTCAGGAAATTGCGTAAACTTTTTGGAGTTTCCCATACGATACAAAAGCAGACCACAAGGCGTTTAAGTGTGACAGATCAAGAAAGGGAAGAGATAGAGCGAAAGCGAGGCCAACAATTAAAAGAATTGAGACAGCAGAGAATATCTAGATTGGGTGCGAATCATCGCTATGTTTTAGAAATTGTGGCTGATTTGATGGGTACGGACACGGAGGAAATAGTAACCGGGGTTGCTGATGAGCAGTCCTTTGTTGATTTACTGTCTGGCATGTTTGAGAAACAAGGTCCTCGTGCGTGTATGATTAGTTATGCTACTATGGAAGGTTATCCGGCTGATTCAGGAAGATATGTTGAGAGTATGAAACGGCAGTTGGTTAAGCGCACTGTAGTTCATCGTAGTGATACCGTAGAATTGTTTGGTAAATGGGTCATCGTCTACCGTAATAACAACAAAAAGGCTCTCGAAAATCGTACAGTGTCCGATGATTTGGCATTGTTTTGCTGGAATGCTGATAAAAAAGATCTTTGCTTATATGTTATAAAAAGTTTTATGGATCGGGTACTTACAAAGTCCTTAGAAGCCGTAACTGAGTTTGGCGTAGCTGAAATGGATCAGAAACGTAAATTCTTCCACACTCTCGACATGTTTAATATATTTTTAAGGTCGTCAGAAGCCACTGTTTCTTCTCGAGTCAATTTTGACGTATCTCATGAACTATATAAGGGATTTCTTTTAGTTAAATATCAAATTGAATCAAGTTCAAAAGATATGAATCGCGTACGATCAGTGGAGCGCTATTTCGGTCAATGGATGCGCCAGATACAGGGCATATTAGTAGAGGGTAAACAAATCTTGAAAGACGGGCCCGATGTTGGACCTCTTCAAATGTTAGTTAATTGGCGTAGAATGTTGGCGCGTTACACTTCCATAAAAGAATTTGTTTCCTCCAAGCCTTTCAACAATCACAAAATTTGTCTCACCTTATCCCGATCATCAAAACTCTTAAAAGTATTTGACTAAATTTTTACTTAGTACTGGAATTTATTTAATTGGGTTCTCTTCGAAAATTTTCACAGAAATGGGCTGAAATTGATAACCAAGTAACGTTAGTTCTAAACGAGGCCAAAGATAATGTTAGATACATAACGTCACTACAAAAATTTTGGGATCCATTATACAGGTAACGTAGATTAATATTAAAATCACACAAAAAAAAAAAAAAAAAATAGCTGGATGCGGTTTTAAGTCTATGTATGATGCATGTTTTGGATACACATAATTTCCATTAATGGATCAATGAATTGTTGTTAGCACAATTAAGTGAAATGATGTAAATCTTCACGATGGTCCACATGCTAAACAGTAAAAATTAACTGATTTTTTTATGCTTGCCGTAAGCAATTTCACAACAAATTTCATATAGAAGTTGTAAGGGACTGAGAAACGCAGAGAGTGCTTACAATCTTTAAAAGCATGTTCAGCGAATAAGGGAAATGAATATATTTTTTGTTTGTCTTTAAAAGGTCTTCACCGGACGGTATCATAAGTAGTTTGCCTGGGTTGATGGTGGCTATACGTAATGTATCAAAAACCGCTCATTATTTTAATACACCCAGCAATGTAACCGGTCTCTTTGTCAAAATATCGAATCAGTTAACGATTACAAGTAAAAATTACCTTACTGATAACGGACGCATCAAATTATGGACAATGTCCCCTAATGATATAATAGCGAAAATTGAAAAGTGCCGAGATGTTATGCAAAGTTATAAAGAGCAATATTACGAAACTTGCAAGGAGATGTCCGATGCCGCCGAGAAACCTTGGATCGTGTCTTCCGTATACATATTTACTTGTTTGGAGAAGTTCCTGGATCGTCTGGACAAGGTTTGGTTTGAACATTTATACTAAACCTGACAAGCTAATATCAATTCTTTTAGATAAAAGTAATTTTTAATACGGAAATAACATATTCGGTTCTGGATCGTATACGCATTAGCGGTATGGAAAAGTTCAGTGCTATGATTAAGGGAGCACGGGCCACAATTAGTTCTAAACCTTATGATCCATTAAATTACCGTATCGAAACATTTGACATGGACTTTCAGAAATTTATTAAAGAGGTCGAGAGGGCAGAAGTGGGAATGCAACAATTTGTGAAACAGCAAATTGCTGATGTACCCATAGCCGAATCGGTTATCTTGATATTAAAGCGTTTTGAGCGTTTGAACTTGGAATGCCTATGTTTAGATCGACGTTATTTGGAAGTTGCGGAAATGTTGGAACAGGAAATGTTTTTGTTGAAAGATGTGTAAGAAAGCTTTTTGCAATGCGCAGCGTTATCCCTTCTTTTATTATATGCAACCTTTTTTTTTTTTTTCTTTTCATCTTTCTTTTGCAGTTACAACGAGGAACGTGGCAATCCATTTATCGCTCGTAACATGCCGCCCGTGGCAGGCCGGATTATGTGGATTCGTTCGATTTTTAAGAAAATCGATGAGCCTATGAAAGTTTTGAAAGTGCGTCAGTGTGTTTTGGCTCACAAGAAAGCTCAGAGAACAGTTCGTTATTACAATTATATGAATGGGATTATATGCCACTATGAAATGACCTACCATAAGGCTTGGTTCGATTATGCTGAGGAGGTCCGTTGTCTATTGAACTCGCCTATTTTGGTATGCAACAAGGAATCTGCAGAATACACCATTAATTTGGATCCAGCTATTAAGCAATTGATTAAAGAAACGGAATGGATGTGGAAACTAAAATTAGAAGTTCCAAATGTTGCCGCTGTGGTTACTTATTGTAAATTGCGCATACTACGCCCAGCTGAGAAATTAAGGATTGCCCTAAAAACATTCGATAGGCTGCGTTCAAGCATTACGCCCGTGTACATAAACATAATGCGTTTTCGTCTGCAAGAAATTTCTGTTCTACTTAAGCCTGCCTTATCCACAGTCACATGGTTGTCAGAAAATTTAGAAGATTTTGTTGTAGATGCAGAAAAAGTAAGCCCAAGTTCTCATCCCTCTAATATGTGGAACGTTGTGTACAACCGTTTGATTATTATTATTTTCAGCAAATTGACGCAATTGATCTTTTTTATAGGATGGTCTTAAATATCGACGAAATACGTATAAATCAAGAAATGCATTCACTACAAAATTATTTATACGTTTACAAGCCTAGTGCGCCCGTTACTTCAGAAAAATTTTATGAATCGTGTAACGACTTGCTTCAAGATATTCAAAAAGAATTGGAGAAGAAATCTGTGTGTATGGAAAGGGCAGTAATTGATCTATGCAATATGTTTGTGGAGTTGTTAAATTTTGGTCCCGTTGACTCTAAAGGTCGTCGTGTGTTTCAATTGCCTCCTGAAAAAATTACCGACGCTAATTGGCGTGTTGAAGGCAATATGCCGATTGATAAATGGGACTGGATTCAATTTCAAAAAATATATCGAACTATTTATTTGGTACCGGATGACGTCCTCAAGACTTTGCAATTTAAAAACTACGAAAATATACGATATGAATTGCATCATTTACGTAACGATTGCATGGATTTATTCTCATATTACAATTCGAAAATGATTTCTTCATTGGTTGGATGTTCGAAAAGATCTCTAGATTTCGTTCGCTATAGTATTCTAAGGTAAACACCATACAATTATTTATTCATTCACAAAAACTTTTTGCACTGAAAGGGAAAAAAAAACTGAAATCAAAGGGAAAGAAATTTCCTGAAATTTCATAAGCAATTATTTTAGAATAGCAATGAAATTAAGTTGATTTAATTGTGTTTCTTCGCTACGGACGCTTATGAAGAATAATTGCAAAAGAAGTTAATTGATACCTCACTAAATATGTTTCAGAACAAATTGGCGAACCGATCCGCAACCGCCAATTTTATATAGTGCAATGGATGTTGACTTGGAAAATGGTTGCAGTATAGATCCAAATTTGGAAAATATGCAAGCGAATTTTCATCGAGCAATTCTGTGCTGCACAGAGATTAACTATTTCGTGACAACGTGGGGTAAACAAGCAAAAACGTTCGCTAGGAAGTCGCGTCGTGTAACAATTGGTAAGCTTATCCATAAGTGCAAGTAAAATGGAAAAATTGAAACGTCCTCATATTTGCTTAAGTCTAAAAATGGATAAAAAGAATTGAGACCTTTGCAAAAGGGTCGTAAAGAGTATGAGCTAAGAGAACCTTTCTTTTTTTATTCCGTCAACCCGAACTTATTGTTAATAGAAATGCATGTCCGTATTTTTGATGTATTTAAACTGATCCTCCTGTCTGCCTAATCTAATATTTGAGAACTTAACTTTGTCTCGTGTTTACAGTGTAATTAGGTTTTTAGCTCTTTTTTAGTTAAGTTTAGAATAATTTTCGGCTTTTCTGCACTACCGTCTTTTAAGAACTGATGGGCATATGTTTTAAACCGCAAGTACGGGCTAGGACATGACGACACTTTATCATATCGGACAACAATTCCTCTTGTTTCATTGAAGGATACAAGAAAACACGATAGGCAGCCTCACGTGCTTGAGAATTTGTAGAACTCGTATATAAGCTAGAAACAAGAGTGGCGTCACCTTCATTGGTGAAATAGTTTCTTATCGACTCAGGGACCTTACCCCCAGGTAGAAGAAGTCCAGGTACCAGCTTGTATGAAACTAAACGAGAGGCTCCAACCAAACTGATTGAAAAGGAGGATGCCAAAGCCGGAGAGACTAATACTTTGTTGCACGAAGTTAGACATTTAAATACGCTAGTAGATCTTATATGACGCTGTAGGGGTAAACAAAGTGTTGAAAAGTTCTGCGAGTGCTTAAAGAGTAGTATAACTTGGTATTTCAGGTTTTGAATCATTAGCAGGGAGAGTCTAGGAAAAGATTTGTGTTACTCGCTTGAGGCGTACAAACACAATGGATATTAGCTATCTCTGTGGCGTGTATATACAAGGGAAGGGAAAAAATTTGACAATGCATAGCTCAGATTGACAATATTGTCTTCTAGTAGACTTTATATGTTTGCAAATCTTTTTCGAATTTACGCATAGGTCGTGAATAACGGGAATAATGGAATTTACAGGTTGATGATTGGATTCATTATAATGTATTTTTAACTACGTATAACTCTGCAATTGCAGATGAAAATCGTTACGAACGTAACTACTATCGTTACGTCATCGAGCATAAAGATATTATACGAGCGGTTCAAAACTTGGCAACCGGTTTGATGATGTATAAGCCAGACATTGACGACTTTTTGAAGGAACAATTCGAAAAATATAAATACCTATGGAGTGCTGAACGTGAAAACATGATCCAAGCATTCGTTAACACAAGTCCATTGACAGTTGATATAAGAGATAAATTTATCTACTATGATAATATCACAACCGATTTGGAAACGAAGCATGCAAGGCATATAATCGGACCGATTGAAATACGCATGGGTAGGTAATAAGAAAAGAGAGTTTCGCAGTCGTTTATTTTGCCCTTCGCCAGTTCGCATAAGCGTTGGTATCATCGTGTTTATCTCCACCTAACTCACATGAAACACGCTTTTCTGAACAAAAATAAACATCCTTCTTATGCAATTAGTTTTTACTTTGCTAAGGGCTTTTCTACAGTTGTCATGTAGACTTGCAATATTGTCACTAAGAAGATTTAAGCGAAGGTTCATTGCCTCTGCTCCACCCATTTTAATGCTATAGTAAAGTAAAACCCAAGAAACGCTCCAATAGTTGTTTCCATATCTTACTTAACAAGTAGTGTATAGTGAGTTGGTGCTGACATTGATTGTCGTAGCGTCGATGGTTCAAAGTGGGGAAAGATATACTATGGAAGACTAATTAATGGCCATTATCACGTTGCTCTAACTGAAATGAGGACCGTCTTAGGACTGGTTATATTATTTTTGGGTCGAGATATGGGTGATTACCATTGCTTGCAGTCGTTTTCGCTGAATCCAGAAGTGCGATTAAAGTATAATGTGTAAAGAAGTACGTCTTGAAGTGGTGCACATTGATTTAGCGTCGGAATAATCGTCCAGAGCTCCGATGAAAGTGAAATTGAGATTCTCATGCAAGATAACCTCCTCCTCTTTTTGAGGTAACACTCGCCGTTACTGAAGCTTGCCTTTGCTTCTATTAGGGTAGATTGAAAGGTCGCGTCGACCTGTCATAGTTAAATTGCTCAAAGTAGTGCCTTAAATTGTAGCAGTTAACAAAAATCTTTAACTGCCGCAATTTTCCAAGGGCATCTGCATGATAGCCAATGCACAACTCTCAAGACTTTCCCATAATCACCGGTCTTTGTCCTGATGCGAGTCATTGACACATACAACATTCTACTGCGGTTGGCACCTTTACGCCTTTTATGCGGAATGGCGAAGCAAAAAATCCTCTGTCAATAATCGATGAAAATATTATTTTAAATACTAAGACATCTGATTCTAAATAGAAAAGGCATTTATGAAATTTGTCGAAGAATCGAAAAAATGGAAGACTGCTTTAGGTCAGTTATTAAGCGCTCAGTACAAGAAACAATTAGATGAAATGGTGGACTTCATTTCGGAACAGGAAAACATATTGGGTAAACCTATAAACGATTTAGACGATGTACGATTAGCGATGATGTGCTTGGAGAAAGTACGGGATAACTTTATAGAGTAAATATCTTTAATTTAGCAAATTTTTGCTGACGGTAAAATGTTGTTATTGTTTCTCAGAATGGATATGGAGTTAACTCTTATTACTGATACATATGCTTTGTTCGCTCAATATAATATTTACATTCCGCAAGATGACTACGATAAGGTGGACAGTCTACAGTTGTCCTTCAATAAAATGTTAGATAATGTAAGGAAAATGCAAAATTCATTTTTATTATAATTTCGAAAAAAATAAAATAAAAATAAAATATATTGCATATAGGCCAAGAAAGTTTCGCAAAAGATTTCGGAAATGGAAGGTCCCTTATTACAGGAACTGAACGACGGTATCGCTACTTTCGTTATGGAATTGGATAAATTTAATGAAGACTTCGTGGCTAACGGTCCTATGGTAGAAGGTATTTCTGCCAAGGAAGCTAGTGATCGCGTGTTCATATTTCAAAATCGTTTCGATGAATTGTGGCGTAAATACGAAATGTACAGCAGCGGCGAAAAGTTATTCGGCTTACCAATAACTGAGTATCCAATCCTGCAGCAACGCAAACGAGAATTCGGTTATCTGAATCGCCTGTATTCATTGTACATTCAAGTATTGAAGACTATTTCGGATTATTATGAAATGCCTTGGGCCGAGGTGGACATTGAACGCATTAGTACAGAATTGGCCGACTTTCAAGTTAGGTATGAAACTTCACTTGGATTTCCTTTAAGTATTTTCGCAATTGACACTTTTACTTTATTTTTAGATGCCGCAAATTGCCCAAGGGCATGCAATCGTGGCCGGCTTTCATCGATTTGAAAACTAAAATTGACGATTTTAATGAGACTTGTCCCTTACTTGAATTAATGACCAATAAGGCCATGAAAGAACGTCATTGGGTCCGTTTAAATGCTCTCTTAAAATCAGATTTTGATCCTACAAGCGCTAAATTTACCTTGGGAAAACTTTTGGAGGCGCCTATATTAAAACACAAAGAAGATGTCGAAGACATTTGCGTAGGTGCCAGTAAAGAATTAGATATCGAAGCCAAGCTTAAGCAAGTCATGACTGACTGGTCAGTAGTTAATATACAATTGGGAATGTTCAAAAATCGGGGAGAGCTTGTGTTGAAAGGTGGCGAAACATTGGAAATAATAGCTTCTTTGGAGGATAGCATAATGGTCATGAATTCCCTATCATCGAATCGTTATAACGCTCCCTTTAAAAAGGAAATCCAATTGTGGTTGGGCAAGTTAGTAGGAACTGGAGAAATTTTAGAGAAATGGTTAATGGTGCAGAATCTGTGGATTTACTTGGAAGCGGTGTTCGTGGGTGGTGATATATCTAAACAATTACCATTGGAAGCTAAACGATTTTCTAATATTGATAAGAATTACGTTAAGATAATGTATCGAGCACGTGAGATACCGAATGCGGTTGAATGCTGCACTGGAGATGAAACGTTGGCTACGTCATTGACATGGCTTCTGGATCAATTAGAGACTTGTCAAAAGTCTTTGACTGGATATTTGGAATCAAAGCGTTTATTGTTTCCCCGATTTTTCTTTGTCTCGGATCCAGTACTTTTGGAAATTTTGGGTCAAGCTTCCGATCCTACATCTATTCAACCTCATTTACTAAGCATTTTTGATGCAGTAGCGACCGTAAGCCATTGAAACTGATTTTTGACTAGAGCATACGGATTCGGAATAACTTTTCTAATTTGTGAATTTTTATAGGTCGACTTTCAGGAAAAAACTAATGATGTGATCACTATTATGAATTCTGCAAATAACGAGAAGGTGCCGTTAGAAAATCCCGTACAATGTTCGGGCAGTGTGGAACTTTGGTTGAATCGTTTGCTCAAAGAAATGCAAGATACGATACGGACAGTATTGGCTGGAATGGCTATTAGCTTAAACGATCCGGAATTTAATTTTGCAGAAGAATTTCCTTCATTTTGTGGCCAAGCTGGTGTAATAGGAGTTCAACTTTTGTGGACAAGAGATGCGGAATACGCTTTAAGAAAGTGTCGCACCGATAAAACTATAATGAAGCGAACTAACGCTAAATTCTTGGCTTTGCTCAACCATTTCATTGATTTGACAGTGAAAGATTTAACTAAATTAGACCGAATTCGATTTGAGACAATGGTTACAATTCATGTACATCAGAGGTAAGGTGCTATTAAATGCATTTAATAGACCATCAGAAATGAAGTAACGAATTCGTTTAGAGATATTTTCGATGATTTATGTCAACTACGTATTCGCTCGGCTGGAGACTTCGAATGGCAAAAGCAAGCTCGTTTTTATTACAATGAGGACAATGACGACATAATAGTAGGTATAACAGATGTAAACTTTATATACCAAAATGAATATCTGGGCGTGACGGAACGTTTGGCTATCACCCCTTTGACCGACAGATGTTACATCACTTTAGCCCAAGCTATTGGTAAAATTTCTTAATTATAATATCCCGCTTCTATGGTAATTTTCAAATGTCTTCTCCCTTTCCTAATCAGGTATGAGTATGGGAGGGGCTCCCGCTGGACCCGCTGGTACTGGAAAAACTGAGACTACGAAAGATATGGGTCGAGCTTTGGGTAAATTGGTGGTAGTATTTAATTGTTCAGATCAAATGGATTTCAGAGGTTTGGGCCGAATTTACAAAGGATTGGCACAGTCGGGCTCATGGGGCTGCTTTGATGAATTTAATCGTATTGAATTGCCAGTGTTGTCCGTAGCAGCTCAACAAATTTAGTAAGCTTTCAAATCTTATGCTTTAATATATATGATCTAAGCAAGAAGGGCCGTCGATTTCAAAATGATACATTCAGATGCGACTGAATCTTTTGGATATGTATCCATTTCTAGGCTCTTTTATTTGTTAGACTAGCGTAAAGAATTCGACTAGCGATATTGTAATAAAATAGGCGGCGCAATACAAGACTGCTACAATATTGAAGGTATCGCTCTATTATCGTGCGTGTGTGCATAGGAATATATATATATGTAACATATGAGATTGGTTAACGTAGTTGGAACAGATTGTAAACGGAAGGGTGTTATATCTTTTCCTCTTTTTGACCATAGGTTTAAGCGCTAAACCTGACGAAAATAAAAATACGAGGTCATAGTATTCTCTTTAGACGAAATGTTGAAAGCGTAACTCGGGTTGCAGCAGACTAGTTAGACGCGTTCAAGCCTTTTCCATAATTCGCCCAGATAGTATATATCTCTACGTTTGGATATATGGTTTTATGAAGTCTTCAAGGATATTCGTAGTCTGGTCATAAAATAAGTTATCCTTGTTTTACTGTTAAAATAAAACACGGGAAACGCTATTTTCTTAATTGAATTAATGACATAAACAAATGAATACCTGTTTCCAATAGACTTATCGAGTGCTGTACGAGTTTCGTAACCTTCTCTTTCGCGATTTCGCGGCAAGTGACTTTTGAATAAGCGATGAAGAGGATGTTAAATCTTAATTTTTACATAGTGCGTATTCAAAAAGAGGATACTGATTATCCGAAAGCTAAATTTTTTATTTGTATTTGCTCCTCAGTTTCGATAATTATACATTAACTTTTTTTAAATTAGCATCGTGTTAACGGCTCGCAAAGAAAAACGCACTACTTTTATATTCAGTGATGGTGACATCGTTTCATTAAATCCCGAATTCGGGCTATTTATTACCATGAATCCTGGTTACGCTGGAAGACAGGAATTACCTGAGAATCTTAAGATTATGTTCCGTACAGTAGCTATGATGGTTCCAGATCGTGCTATCATCATTCGAGTTAAATTGGCGAGTTGTGGCTTTAAGGAAAACCTCATATTGTCGCGTAAATTTTTCACATTGTACAAATTGTGCGAAGAACAACTATCCAAACAAGTTCATTACGATTTTGGTTTACGAAATATCTTATCAGTGCTGCGTACTCTTGGCGCCCAAAAACGTTCGAATCCCTCAGACACTGAAGAAACTATTGTAATGAGAGTTTTACGAGATATGAATGTCTCAAAATTAATTGATGAAGATGAAGGTTTATTCCTATCCCTAATTGAGGACATGTTCCCGGGTATAAAACTAACCACAGCTGTGTATAAGGATTTGCAGAAAGCTATATCTAACGCGGTCGAGGAGTACGGCTACATGAATAATCCTGAATGGAATTTAAAGGTTGTGCAATTGTACGAGACATCGCTGGTCCGGCACGGGTTGATGTTAATGGGTCCTACTGGTTCTGGTAAAACGAGTTGCACTTTGACGATGTTGAAATGTTTTACTGAAATGGGGAGACCTCACAAGGAGATGAGAATGAATCCAAAGGTAGGAAGGAACATTTATCTCTATTTATGTGACGCTTATTAAAAATCGTTTAGGCTATTACGGCTCCTCAAATGTTTGGCCGTTTGGATGTAGCAACGAATGATTGGACCGATGGTATATTTTCCACCTTATGGCGTCGTTCGCTAAAAGTTCCTAAAAATCATAATACTTGGATTGTGTTAGACGGTCCGGTGGATGCTGTATGGATTGAGAACTTAAACTCAGTCTTAGATGATAATAAAACTCTGACCTTGGCTAATGGTGATCGTATTAAAATGGCAGATAACTCAAAATTGGTATTTGAACCGGATAACGTAGACAATGCTTCCCCGGCTACGGTTTCCCGAGTAGGCATGGTTTTCATGAGCTCTTCAGTTTTAAAATGGGTCGTTTATAAAGATGGTAAAAGTTTTATAGATAAAAAAAAAAAGAAGAAGAAACTAAATTATCAAAAAAATCCTTTATAGCTTGGGTGAAAAAACGGTCGGCTACTGAGCAGGATGTTTTCCAAAAATGCTATGAAGCCATTTATGATGATGCGCATGTTTATTTACAAACAAAATTAATAGCTAAAATGAAAATTTTGGAAGCTATATATATAAAGCAAATGTTAGAAATTTTAGATGGATTATTAGCAGATACCAGTAATCGATCTGATCGCTACTTGGAGCGTACTTTCTTGTTCGCTCTGATGTGGACTTTAGGTGCTGTATTGGAAATTGGGGAACGTGATAAGTTAGAAGAGTTCTTTCTAAAACATCCCTCAAAGCTTAGTGAGTGAATTTTATAATTTTTTTAAATTATTAGTAAATATGAGTTCTTTTGCGGCACACTTCAAAACGAAGCCAAGAAAATAGCTTGTGCCTTCGCAAACAACTGGAGGGAGCATGAATAAGCAGCTGTAGCTAAAAGGGTAGAAAAGCTCCTCAGGCTAAGGGTCTTGTTTTTTTTTAATTCTTGAATTTTTTTTGGGAGATGTAATGACGTTAGAATAATTTTCTTGTTCTTCGACGGAAGTTGTAATATATATATTAAAATAGATAAATAGATAAATTTAACAATTTATAGGATCAAAATGACGAACATGTACGTGTGTTCAATCAATTCACTTACTTACTTATCCACTTTGATATATGTACATTAATTAATATGTACTTTATTCGAAATCTGCATAGGTTTGAAGAAGAGGTTCCGGCGAAAATCACAATCAAAATTCTTGACATCGCTATAAACATACATTGAATCGACCCAAACAATTTTGCACTTATATCAGTCGCCCAGTAACGTCTACGCACAGTATGAAAAGTTAAGGTTACTCTTACTTGAGTATTAGGAAAATATATTTCCCATAACTAAAACCCATATTAAATAACAATGCAAGATTTTTGCTGACTTAAGACAACGTCAGAACCTAAAAGTATACTTCAATCTCAAAAAATATCACAAAAAAGTGTATGTACAGCGAAAAACACATCACTGGAAGTACACGGGAAAAAACATCTGTAGATAACGATATTAAGTTTTCGTACTTGTTTTCGTACATTTAAAATGGTTTTCTTCATTTCTTTTCCCTAAAACGTCACAACAACAGCAAACATTCTTCTTCACATTTATGAGTTTTTCATATTCTTTTAACGCGATGTGGTAAAGCTTTTCGTTGAATGTATGCGACATTTTTTTAGAATGGCCGAAAAAGCAGCCCGGCGAAACGGTTTTCGAGTACTATGTAGACGACAATGGCATTTGGCAGCATTGGAACAACCGAGTCGAACGTTTCATTTATCCGGAGGACAGCATACCGGAATTCTCGGCAATTTTAGTTCCAAATGTGGACAATGTACGCACAGCATTTTTAATGCACAATATATCCAAGCAACGGAAACAGGTATTGCTCATTGGAGAACAAGGCACTGCTAAAACAGTAATGATTAAAGGATATATGTTAACCTACGATCCCGAAGTGCATTTATACAAATCATTCAACTTCTCATCTGCTACCACTCCTAACATGTTTCAGGTTTGTATAATAATCAAATCGGCTTAAAAAACAGAATTTTAAAATGAAAGTTTAAAATGTAGCGAATTATTGAGTCGTATGTTGAAAAAAGGGTTGGCACCACCTATGGTCCTCCCGGTCAACGTTCAATGACTGTGTTTGTCGATGATATTAATATGCCCATAATCAATGCTTGGGGCGATCAAGTCACTAATGAAATTGTTCGCCAAATGATTGAACAGCACGGTTTTTATTCTTTGGAAAAGCCTGGTTTGCATTCAAATACCTTGTGTAAGGGATCAATGTTAACGAACAAATTTTCACTTTCATGCAGGCGATTTTTCGACAATTATGGATATTCAAATTTTATCTGCCATGATACATCCCGGTGGGGGTCGGAATGATATACCAAATAGATTAAAGCGTCATATGGCCATATTTAATTGTACTTTGCCCAGTAATAATTCTATGGATCAGATATTCAGCCAAATTGGTTGCGGTTATTTTTGTTTAGCTCGATTTGAAGAGGAGGTGGTAAACGTTGTTCCGTCATTAGTACCTTTAACGCGCGTATTCTGGCAACATGTTAAAGGCAAGATGTTACCAACGCCTTCCAATTTCCACTACGTGTTTAACCTTCGTGATTTGTCACGTATTTGGGAAGGTATCTTAAAGGTTGCCGGAGACGAATGTAAAACCGTTTCAGACATATTAAAACTTTGGCGCCATGAATGTACGCGCGTAATAGCAGACCGCTTCACCGATTTTAAAGACACAATATGGTTTTTGGAGCGAATGAAGAAAGATGCTGCAGCGCTTCTTGGCGAATATTTTGAAGAATTCCCCGAAGAAGAAACTTTCTTTGTAGACTTTCTAAGGGACCCTCCGGATGTAGGGGAAGATGACGAAGATGTTTCTCTTGAGCCGCCAAAAATTTATGAGGAAATACCTAGGTAATTAAAAACTGATATCTACGATTTGTATAATCGTATTTATATTCTTCATCAAAAAAAGTTGCATTCCCTCACGACTCGAAAGTCCGCCTACAGTTTGTGTACTTTCTGTCATCTTGAGTTAATGACCTGATTTGGCTGCAATATTTCACTTTGAATAATGATATTACCGTCAATTGTCGTACAGTTAATAAAAAAATATCGATCTGATATTTACTCCGAATATTTATCAAAATGTCTCAGTTACTTAAAGTAGCAATGTTAAGCGTTCGTAACTGGATTTCGTGACTATTGATTAAAATAATTTTTATTTCACACACTAATTTTCGGTCTGAAATTTGACCTCACTTAATAGATAAAATGGTCTAAATTGATTTGCTGATAAACTTATACTCACTACACTATTTGCTTTAGTTAGTATGAAAACGAAATTATAGCTAAAGCAAAATTAAATTTTTTCACACAGTTTGGAAAAAGTGAAGGAGCGAGTTACATGGTATATGGGGCAATTCAACGAGTACGTGCGAGGTTTCCATATGGATTTGGTATTCTTCCGTGACGCGTTAGTACACCTGATGATTGTTTCTCGAATAGTAAGCATGCCACGGTAAGTAATTTTGAAATTTATTTAAATTTTACTACTATTAACGTTATCTTTTAGAGGTAACGCTTTGTTGGTTGGCGTTGGCGGATCAGGCAAACAAAGCTTGACACGCTTGTCATCCTTTGTTGCGGGTTACAAGTTCTTTCAAATTACTCTAACCAGGGCATATAACGTGAACAATTTGACGGATGACTTGAAATATTTATATCGCACCGCTGGCTTGGAAGGAAGGGGTATTACTTTCATTTTTACGGATAACGAAATTAAGGACGAAGCCTTTTTAGAATTTATTAATAACATATTAAGTTCCGGTGAAATAGCCAACTTGTTCGCCAAAGATGAAATGGGTATTTTAATATGAACAACGAAATCTAACATTTATCTAAAACAAGACTAACTTATTCGTTATAGATGAAATTTACAATGAAATCATACCTATTATGAAAAAAATTCAACCCCGCAGGCCTCCAACACAAGATAATCTATACGATTTTTTCCTATCACGAGCTCGTTCCAATCTTCACGTTGCATTATGTTTCTCTCCTGTGAGTAGAGTGTGGAGTAATAACTTTTCTTATTTTCGATTAATCACATTGCTCACATTTTATAGATTGGTGAAAAATTCCGTGCCCGAGCTTTGAAATTTCCTGGTTTAATATCTGGGTGCGTCATTGACTGGTTTCAAAAGTGGCCGGAAGATGCCCGAGTTGCTGTGTCGCGACATTATCTAAAAGATTTTGAAATAATTTGCGACCCGGCGGTGAAAGAACAAGTTATTGACATAATGAGTTGGATTCATGAAGTCGTGTCGGAGGCATGCCTTTCCTACTTTGAAAGATTTCGACGTACCACTTTCGTTACTCCAAAGTCGTTGATATCTTTCTTGGAGAGCTATAAAAAACTATATAAGGAAAAACAAAACAACATCGTCGTGATGGCTGAACGAATGTCCTCGGGCTTGTATAAGCTGGATGAAGCTGGAGCTTCCGTGTCCGTTCTTAAAAAAGAATTAGTAGAAATGAACAAAGTAATTACTGTAGCAACTGAAGAAGCTGAAGTGGTATTGCAAACTGTGGCAGAGTCTACGGCGGCCGCCGAGATTATAAAGACACAAGTGGCGGAAAAAAAAAGCCAAGCTGCAGAGTTGGTGAAATCAATTTCGGCTGATAAGGAAGTGGCCGAAGCAAAACTAGAAAAAGCTAGACCAGCTTTGGAGGAAGCCGAAGCAGCTTTAAAAGTATATTAAAAACTTAATTACATAAATTTCACATTGCATTTTTTTATATCATTTTTTTGGATTTATAACAGACTATTAAAGGTTCCGATATTGCCACGGTGCGAAAATTGGGAAAACCGCCCTACCTAATCACCTTGATTATGGATTGCGTTTGTATATTATTTCGAAAGCGCGTAAAGCCCGTAAGACCCGACATGGAAAAGGCTTTTTTGCAAAGCTCTTGGGAAGAGTCCCTAAAAGTAATGTCCGACACATCCTTTTTAAAAAAGATTGTGGAATATCCTACCGATCTTATTAATGCTGAAATGGTGGATCTTATGCTGCCTTATTTTAATTACAGGTAAAATATTTGATTGATTTTTGGAATTGATAACTTTTTTGCGGACTTCTTATACAACTATTAGACTTATATGAACTCTAGCCCTTGTTTATAAAACACAAAATTTGCGAAATAGTTTGCCACTTTCTTCAGGAAAAGTTTGTGCTAAGTGTGTTTTCGTATATATATAATAAAATTTATCTGCAAGTAGCAAACCTCACCAACACTATCGCAACGATAGAAAAATTCAAAGTTTGTCTAATGGTTTGGATAAAGATTGATTGTACAAACGACCAATTCATCCGATATTGACTTAATTTAATTATTGTTATTTTTGTCAGTCCGTGTCATATGTACTTAAGGTACGAGATACACAAAAATTGAGATGTAAACCGAATGAGGAGGGGATCGCATATATTTCTGGATTAAGTCAAATTATCAATTTTAAATGGCATCTGTGTGCGCAATAGCACACCTATATCGACAATATTTGTAACCACTAGCCCGCAATTTATTGTTTTCGCGATGTGTTTTGTATCGTAAATACTAACAAATTTAATCTTTTTACTTGACTCCACTTAGTCTTTATACATTCGAAGCTGCCAAGGTCGCTTGCGGCAATGTGGCTGGTCTGCTTTCGTGGACGATTGCTATGGCTAAATATTATGAAGTTAACAAAGAGGTTTTACCTCTCAAAGCGAATTTAGCAGTTCAAGCAGCCAAGTATGCTAAAGCAGCCAGTGACTTGCAAGAAGCGGAAGATTTGTTTGCTGCTAAAGAGCGCGAATTAGCTAAAGTGCAGCAACAGTTTGATGAGGCCATAGGCAAGAAAAATGCTGTATTGGAGGAAGCCCAAAAATGTCAAGATAAGATGGATGCTGCAACAGCTTTAATAAGTGGATTAGCAGGCGAAAAAATAAGATGGACTGAACAAATTGCACAATTTAAAAGCGAAACTGAACGCTTAGTAGGTGATGTTATTCTTTTGACAGCTTTCTTATCCTATACCGGGCCCTTCAATCAAGAATATCGCAGTGACTTGCAAGGGCAGTGGTTAAAACAAATTGTTGAGCGTCACATACCTATTTCATCGAATATTAGTATCATAGAAAGTCTTACAGATCGAACGCAAATAGGCGAATGGAATTTGCAAGGATTGCCGTCGGATGAATTATCCATACAAAATGGTATAATTGCAACTAAAGCGGTAAGATTTCCTTTGCTTATCGATCCCCAATCGCAGGGTAAAGCGTGGATTAAAAATAAAGAAAAAGAAAACAACCTAATTGTCACCAACTTAGCGCATAAATATTTTCGCACCCACATTGAAGATGCTGTTAGCATGGGCTTACCCGTCATCATTGAAGACGTAGGCGAAGAATTAGATCCCTGCTTGGATAACGTGTTGGATCGCAATCTTCTTAAAGTAGGCACTACGTATAAAATAAAGTTAGGTGATAAAGAAATTGATTATAATGCCGACTTTCGTTGTTATATCACTACTAAATTACCGAATCCAGCGTACACACCCGAAGTATCAGCTCGAACATCTATAATTGACTTCACTGTTACGATGAAAGGTTTAGAAGATCAGTTGCTGGGTAGAGTAATTTTAACTGAACGTAAGGAATTAGAAGAAGAGCGCACAAATTTGGTTGAAACTGTAACTGGAAATATGAAAAAAATGAAGGAACTTGAAGCAAATCTGCTGCATAAATTATCTACCACTCAAGGCAGCTTGCTGGACGATGTGACAGTAATAGAAGTGCTAAATACGAGTAAAAATACTGCTATAGAAGTCAAAGAGAAGTTGGATATTGCAAAAGTAACTGAAGCCAAAATTAATGCGGCACGAGAGGAATATCGACCTGTGGCTACCAGAGGCAGTGTGCTTTATTTTTTGGTTTGCACAATGGCTAAAGTAAACGTGATGTACCAAACGTCTTTGGTTCAGTTTTTAGATCGCTTTGACGCCAGTATGCACAATTCGGCTAAGACACATATCACGCGAAAAAGAATTAAAAGAATAATAACATACCTAACGTTTGAAATCTATCGTTACAAGTCGCGTGGTCTTTATGAAAAGGATAAATTTCTTTTCGTTTTGTTAATGGCTTTAAATATAGATCGCCAATTAGACCTCGTCGGCTACGAAGAGTTCCAAAATTTCATCAAAGGCGGTGCTGCTTTAAATTTAAACGATTGCCCGCCCGTTCCGTTTCGTTGGATTACCGATGAAACTTGGCTAAACTTGGTACAACTCTCACATTTAGGACCGTTTGCAAATATTTTGAATAAGGTCTCGAATAATGAACGTGCTTGGCTAGCGTGGTATAAAAAGGATTGTCCAGAAAATGAAGTAATTCCTGACGGTTTCAACTCGCTGGATCCTTTTCGTCGTTTACTTTTAATAAGGTCCTGGTGTACAGATCGGACTTTATCTCAGTGTCGTAAATATATAGCAAATTCATTAGGTGATCGTTTTGCCGAACCAGTAATTTTACAGTACGATGGACTTTTGGAAGAGAGCAAACCTCTCATGCCAATAATATGCTTTTTATCGATGGGCTCAGATCCATCGTCAAACATCGAAGCTTTGGCTAAAAAGAATGAACTTAAATGCTTTCCTATTTCAATGGGCCAAGGTCAAGAAATACACGCTCGTAAATTAGTTTCGAATTGCTTGGAAGATGGAGGTTGGGTTTTGCTTCAAAACTGTCATTTGGGCTTGGACTATATGAATGAACTTACGTTACTCTTATTGGACTTGGAACGTGGCGAGGAATCTGCTTTTAGCAAGAACTTTCGTGTTTGGATTACAACGGAACCTCATGATTCTTTCTCGATCACATTGCTGCAAATGTCTTTAAAATTTACTAATGAACCTCCAGCAGGCATCCGCGCTGGTCTGAAGAGAACTTATTCCAATTTGTCTCAGGATTTTCTAGATTATTCTCAGTCGCCCTTTTACCATCCTTTGGTGTTCGCAATATCCTTTTTGCACTCTGTCGTGCAAGAGCGTCGAAAATTTGGTCCTCTTGGTTGGAATATACCATACGAATTCAATTCTGCTGATTGGTATGCCAGTTGCTTATTTGTACAAAATCATCTGGATGATTTAGAAACCGGGAAGGGTATCAGCTGGACCACGGTAAGGTACATGCTGGGAGAGGTACAGTATGGGGGTCGCGTTACTGATGATTATGACAAACGCCTACTAAACACTTTTGGTCGCGCTTGGTTTCATGATCATCTTTTCGATGAAGCCTTCGAATTCTATAAAGGCTATAAGATATTTAGTTTTAAAGAACAAGAAGCTTACTTGGCAGCTATCGAGGAGTTGCCTAACATAGATCCACCGCAAGTATATGGTTTTCATTCGAATGCTGAAATTACTTATCAGACTAACACGACTAGAAGCATTTTGGACACTATAGTCGCTATACAGCCAAAAGGTTAGCTTTGGTGAAAGACAATTTAAATTATATTTTGCATTGTAGAACTTAAGATATGAATTTTTATTGATTTTGATGCATTTGAGAGGCGTCTAACGTTTGAACGTAATATGCGCACATATTAAATCGTCCTTCTAATGACTATATGGTAACTGCATCTATAATGATTTGCTTTCTCGATGATTTCCCAAAGCTGATTGATTATATATGAAATTATATACAGCTTTGCATTCTCAAACAACATTGAACTTTTATGCCGTCAACTTTTTTAAATGTTTATTGTTTTTACCAAATTCAAAGTCAGGAGGCAAAGGAATCGAAATCAAAAAAAAGGCATATCTTAATTAATAGATTGTTTGTTTTAATTGTTTAATTGTTTCAATTAAATAAGATTTAAATTGAATATGAACATTTTTTTGCTCTTTTAAACTAGAGTCTTCTAGTGGTGGCGGCGAGACTCGTGAAGATAAAGTAGCTCGTATGGTTAAAGAAATGCAATCAAAGGCTCCAATGCCATATGATCTCTTTGAAGTGAAAGAGCGTCTGAAATTAATGGGAGCTCTCAGCTCGATGAATATATTTCTCAGACAAGAAATCGATCGTATGCAGAGGGTAAGTAGGGAAAACTTCCTCTTTTAAGAATGAAAAAAAATTCGGCAACAATTTGATATCTTATGTAGATCATTATTTTGGTAAGAGCGACTCTGAAGGACCTTTTATTGGCAATAGAAGGCACTATCATCATGAGCGAGCAATTGCGAGATGCCCTCGATAATATATTTAATGCACGTGTGCCTGCCGTTTGGCAGCGAGGAAGCTGGGCGTCCTCGACCCTTGGATTTTGGTTTACTGAATTATTAGAGAGGAATCAACAATTTCACACATGGTGTTTTAATGTACGTTTTATTTATACTTAAGTTTCATGGCCATACCATAAAAGTTCCGAGGGTGCTCTTTTGGTGTGTAAGGGGTTTGCTTTTAAACGAGAACGGATATAAGTATCTTGTCGGCAGAAGGTCACCTGTGGAACTTTTATTGCGCACGTAAAGGAACTCGAAAAAAAAAAATTTAATTATAGGCAAGGCCCGTCGTTTTCTGGATGTCCGGGTTTTTCAATCCCCAAGGTTTTCTGACGGCTATGAAACAGGAAGTAGCTCGCGCTCATCAAGGATGGGCTTTGGATCAAGTTTCCATGACTAATGAAGTTTTGAAAATAAGCTTAGATGAAGCGAAGAAACCACCCAAAGAAGGCATTTATGTACACGGTTTGTTTTTGGATGGCGCTGGATGGGATCGTAAAACTTCACGCCTGGTTGAATCTGCCAATAAAGTTCTCTATGTTCTGATGCCTGTGGTGCATATATCAGCCATTAATTCTGTTGCACCAAAAAGCCCTAAGTTGTACCAGGTAAATCTGTTAACTCGTATTGATATCCATAATTTGTTACTTGTCGGCAATCCGAAGACCTTTGAAAGTTTCGATTCAAAAGGAAATTTATATTATTATTATTCGTTTTTTATGAAAAAATTTAAATGCACATGATAAGGAGGATATTTGTTTTTGTTCTTATAGGCTATATGAACTTTGAATTTATAAGCGCAGGGCTTGTATTAATTTCTTAATATGTCGGATTAGCAATTGGTCTTATAACTTACTTTTAATCGATTACAACTTATTTCTAAAGATGAATCGATCTGAAATTGTATGCATGTAAGGCATGCTAATCTAATATTTTATATTTCGTTTTAACTAGTGCCCGGTCTACAAGAAAATAAATCGCACGGATTTAAACTATATATCACCTTTGTGGTTGAATACTGTGAGAAACTCAGATCACTGGATCATTAGAGGAGTGGCCCTTTTGTGTGATATTAAATAAACGGGAAGCAAATACTTGTCAATTTTTTTTTAAATGTTTTCAAATTTATTTTTGATTTTTACTTTAATACAATAAATTTATTTAAAAATTTGCTCGACTTTTTTTTAGGTTAATAGTAAATAAATTATCCTTATCCTTTTAAACAATGGTATTTAAAGGAAAAAAAATGTACAAGAATTTGAATAATTTAAAAAGAAAAAGCAAAGGAAGAAAAAGGAAAAAAATGAAGAAGATATATATGTATATTAAATCTTTTTTTCCGGATTCTTGATTAGTGTTTCCCGTGATAACAGCCAAAGTAACATCATCCCGTCTCCCTACGGAGACTGTGTCTGATCTTATAACAAGCCCTCTGATTTGGATGCCACAGCCATGCCAAATCACGAGATCAATTTGTACGACTGCTTGTCGAAGTGCAATTTTGTAGTTTTTGTCGGAACCTGTGCAAACGTTGAAGGGAATCGTATGAATATCAACTTCGATCTTTTTTTTACGATTACCTGAAGATTTTCACCATGTAGGGCTTACAAGAACTAAAAGTGGTCAGCAGGGGCAGAGCCAAATTGCTCTTCAGCTCTGCTACCAATGCCGACAACTTTGTGACAAATAACGATTTTAGTAGAACGGATTTAAGGGCATACATACCGAGATCGTTTACTAGAGATTCAGAGTTATTCGAAACATCTCATGTATATACAGTGTAGAAGAGATAAGTAAAAACGCCGTGCCCGATATTCCGATCAAGTCCGCTGTCGGTTTTTAAAGAAGGAATCCATTGTCATTGACAAGGATGAGTGAAATCCCACAACCATTAAAATCGGCTTCAAAGGGAAAGCACTCCCTAAGTCAATCAAATTTAATTATTGTCATATGCCGGTGGAGTACTTTGTATCCACCTTTACCCACCTTAAATCAATTCTTTAAGTGCGGTAGATACGGTCACGTTTCAAAATTCTGTAAAGCTAAGGAGAGCAGATGCCTCAACTATGGGAACTGTCCGTGAACTGTTAGACGATGATGTGCTTGACCTGTGGTTGAGGTGAGCACAACACTCTGAGCACTCAAACGTCAACAGAATCATTGTAATTAATAAAACTCTCCTATAAAGAGGTAAAAGAGAAGTTTTCCTCAAATTACTTCGAATGTCTTGACGACATCTCCTACGATTGCAAGTTCCCCCCATTAGGGAATGCGTCTGCCATTTGGGGCAAGAACGACAATGAAAATGCCAATAAAATAAGAAGAATAAATAAGAGATAACAAGATAAGATAACAAGTGTAAATTTCATGCTGTCGTCAAAAGGAAATCGGTTCTTTCCAAATCTCCTCTCAGTTCATCCACCGAACCTTCTCTCAATTCACCCCCAAGCCGTCTGTAACAAGACTTCGGCATCCAGTAATTTCAAACAACTAATGCGTTCCTCAGAACTTGAAAGGTTAGTGTCTGCGATTAGAGAAAGTATTCGCTCGATGATCCCTCAGAGTCACATTAAAGAATTGGATTTTCACTTGAACTCAAATAAGCTTGATTTCTCCATCTTAACCGAAGTTTTTCTGAAGGATGAAAATTGTTTCGAAGTTACAGTTTCGAATTATGCTTCAGCCACCAAATGCCGAAATGACGGCTACGGTGGTGTTAGCATATTATATTAGTTAAGAAAGGTGTCAATTTCAGCCGTAATAGCATGTTTGCACAAGAGGCGCGAAAGAAACAGATCACACTACCGCAACAACCTACGGACATGATCGACATTTGTTTGACTGTATTTGAACTTCGAATTTCGCGGAGATTGTTGGGTTTTTATATAAGTTAAAAAGGGAAATGTTTTTGAAATATAACAAAAATTTCGAAATAGTGCTAAAGACACGTTTTTTATTATTCTAATAAGTTTTTTTATTCTTTTTGGACCGAACGTAACGTCGATCTTTCTACATTTTAGGTGTTGCGAAACCGAGAGGAAATTTACGATTCAAGGCGCGAATTCAATGCTTGCTATCAACACGTCTCTGGAGTGTAAAGAAATAAAATATAAAGATATTTAATTACGCACATGGTTTAATCGCCTGCAAAGCTTCAAAACGGAAATGTCTTAACCATTGTAAGGAGACTTTGAAAACGGCGCAGAAAAGAACCTTGTATCCCTACGTTACATTCACGCATTTATTTTATATAGACTATCTGAGAGCGAGGCTGATGGTGCTCCTACGAATTCTCGATATGTTTAACACTTTGACGTTCATTTTAAAATCAGTGGGTGCTTCCAAAAGCATACTCCTTTTTTTTGTTTTATAATACTAAGAACGTAGGACTGCTACAGACGCCTATCGCTTCTCAGCCTCCTTACCTCCCATGCTGGCCCAAGCTGCGATGTCAGCATTAAATCGTTTTGACAAAGATCAAATATTTTCCAATTTCTCTAAGCTAACAATAGGAGGCTATCCTCTCTCCCCAATTAAACATTTATATTTAAACGTTACATGGGAGCAGGTCGATGAAGAGCACAAAAAATTAATAGAGATATCCGATAAGGTATAATCACATAATATTTGCGAGGAAATAATTAATGTGATCATGTAATTTTCTATCTCAGTGTATTTCCGTCAACAAGTTACGGTATATATTTGGACATATGATAACGTTCAGATATTTCTTTTCACTTAAATGTAACTATCTACTAAAAACTTTTTGGGGAAGCAATAAAATTAGTATCTCTTCCCTGGATTTTCGACCAAAAAGGTATCTCATTTTGTTTATCAAATTTACTTATGATGGCGAATTTTTCATAGAAATTGTGCAAATATAGAAACCGAGTTTGTAAGAAATGATACGCGTGATAGACATAAATGTTTGTTCAAAAAATGCCTTTTGAATACGGTTTTGTTTGTTATATACATTTTAGAAAATACAAAAATAATGAATGAGAAAATAAATTAAAATGAAGAATTATTAACGACCCAATATGTTTCCACGACCCCAATTGCTAGTAAATCCCCCAGGCGATGCCTGGTTGTTTCTGTTTGCTGGCGGCACTCCAAAACCACTCATATTACCGCTGACGTCTGGCGCAAAACGTTTTCTAAAAATAATCAAAAAAATATAAAATTTTATAAAAGTTGAGGTGATTAAAGGTTTTACAGAATTCTTGGAGTTTCAAGGAAATTGCCGCCGTCCAAATCTTGCGGATATTGAAATTTGAGAAAGTAGTACAAATGACCTATAAAAATGCCTATAAGAGAAGCAACCGATCTGTTGAAATGAAAAGAAAGCATTATAAATAATCCCTTTTAGTACGATATTACTTCAGCTTACCCGTGAAAGATTAATTCAAGGCCAGCTAATATCCAAGGCAAATAAATAGCTTTAAAACGGCTACCAAACCAAAAGGTAACAATAACATCTTTATTTAAATGACACCATACGTAGGTTACAGCAACTACGAGAATATCCATTAGGAAGCTGACATTAAATATTAGGCCGCCGACAATTGCCATTCCACTTATCACAAGTTGCATATATAAATAATCAGCTGGGCTCCGATTGAATTGGTCTTTTTCCAGGCGGCCACTGTACTGCACAATAAAATAACAATTTATCAGGAAATGGAAGCCTGTTCCTGATGTCAAGGGATACACTACTAAACTCGTCAGACACCGCCAAAGCTCCCATTCGCCAAGAACTAGTCTTCTTGATAAGTAAACATAATGAAACGGTAAAATGCCAAACCTAGAACATAAACTCGCGGCAATTGTGGCCGTCAGCCAATATCGCGTGAATCTTGGCAATTGATTATACCAAACGCCGACGTCTGCCATTTATTCCTTCCCTTTGTCGTACTTATATATAATAGCAAAAATATTTAATATTTAATTCCTTGAGAGTAATTATTCTCTTAGCTGAGTTTAGTCAAATTCTGACATTATTCGTAAAAGCATTACGTGTCTTTTGTCAAAAACATATGCGAACCATTTCCAATATTCCAATCAACATATGCGTTTTGTTTACGGTTGCGCTAAACTCTAAAAAATTACACGACTGAAATTAAACAAGCAGCTGCAACGGAAAAACAATTAAAAACCCAATACCACACTTCCCACTATACAGAGATGTTCATTCATTTTCATAGCAACACGCCAAATTTTATACATCATTTTCACGTAAAGGCTCACTTTTCATGAAACTCTCCGTATTGGAGGGTGTTCAAAACGTCATCTCACATGATCCAATTTAGCAAGCTTAATTTACTTGTGAAATTATTATTATTATTATTACTATAAACTTAGCCAGAGAATGAATTCGAAGACTAAAGTCTTAAAGCAGTAGCATCTAAGGCTTTCGGTTTTATTAAAAACTCTACCGCACTTGAGATTTGAACCCATTGAGTTGCTAGTCGAGAGTCTTGCCTACTCGGCCACTCAGGTGGATCACTTGTGAAATATTTTATTACTTTCGTCTGTTTTCATCATAAAAAACTATATATATATAAACTGTATATATATATATATATGGTAGAGCCTTAGAAAAAAGACTCTGCCAACATTACTATAAACTAATTTCCATCATGGAATATCAAAAATAAAATACTTTTGCCAAAGTGATTACTTTTTCTGAGACACTTTGTGTGAAATGGCATTCGAGATATAGACTTACGTATTTTAAATTCGCCAAGGCTTATTTCGATAATAAATTATTGTCATGGGCCAATTTTCACCATGAAATATTGGAAATTAGATTTCTTACCATATGTGGATACAGTTTCCATCACAACGCTTGTATGGGAGATAATTTAAAACATTAACCCATCCGATAAATTTAGGAATTATAAAAATTGCAATTTCCTTTCAGTTAAAGGTTCTTCAAGATACTTTTCGGAAAAGTGTTTCGATCTAATCCAAAACACTTCAATACACCAAATTTCATCAAAATAGCTCAAAAATTGCGATGTGTAGGTTGAAGAAAAGAATGCATGGGCTAGATGCACGCAGTGGTGAACTGGCACACAAGCCTAGATCGATTTAGAAAACAAGTACTGGACAATATGAACAGAAATTGTAAGTAAAGGACGCAATCAGAAATCTCTGTCAAATCCGAATGTAGATATGTCACGCTGCACTAGTCAAGGAACCCCAGCGTTAGCATTCAGCCGGAAGTACCAGTATCGGAAGTTTTTGGGCAGCGTCCGCACCTGCCGCCCCGAAGTTATCGAATAAAGGAAACTAACGTTCAAATGTTGAAAATGCATGAAAATATATTATCATTGTTTTTCAAATAATGGGTACACTATACCTCATTTGTATACTTTTTACTTTGATGATGAGTCCACATTAATGAAATCTGTCATAGTTATAATTATAAAATATAAATAAATAAAATTAATGCATTATTGCATTTTTTGCGACACAATTGTTTTTATATTTTTTGAACAAGAGGATATATACGTAAATAATGGATATAGCGAATAAACAAATTGTCCGTGACAAGAATATGCTGACAGAGAGAGAGGACTTCTTGGATTTTAGGAAATAGAACCGCATCAAAATCTTGTGCAATATATTTATATTTGAAACTTATAAGGAATATATTATAGTCCTTCTTTTATTGTGTATCTGTAAATAAAAAAGGTGTTACTGCTCATGGCATGATGACCAAAGGAAGGTCGTCTTTCCCATCAAGATAGGAAGTGCAGTAATTTGTAAAGTGGGCAAAGTGAATAACCGAATCTGCTGTACAGATAATACATATGTATTTAAAGCCGTTATTTATGCACGTATTCGGACAGTGTGAGAACGAGCAACATTCCCAACAAAAACGTCTGATCGAAAAAATATTAAAACATCTATTGACATGGTTCAAGACAAAGAGCTTTCACGTATTCGCTTAAAACATTCTCGTTTACTTAGCTTTTCAAAAACCTGCGTTTGTTATTTTAAACTATTGAACTTACAGAGGTGATTTTATCGGAACTATATTTAAAGCATTGTTTGACCATTGTAAGAAATAAAATGTTTATGAATAGCTTAGATTTTGTTTTGGAATCTTCAATGCAACAGCAGGTAGCATGCATAAGTGTGGAATGTGAAAATTCGCATAAGTTTGTGCGGCCTTTTACAACCTTGGCATAAACAAAAAAGTGCAAAATCCTCAGATTCAGGATTTAACTTTTGCAGCTCCCTTAACTTATTTTGAAGACGTTGTCGACGTTTCGTCAGAGACCTCCCAATTGAGGTGAGTAAACGAGGAAATAAACAATATACGGATTTAAACAATATACGTTCTTTGAATTCATATGTTAATGTATAAATATAAAAATATGAAATTAAAAGTTCAAATTCACTGTTCAATGTTTTCCTAAGAAATGATAATATGGAAGTATATAAAATTATTTCCCTTCATTTCATTTTTTTAAAAATTTTACTTAATTTTGTTTTTATTTACCTTCGTATGATTTTGAAAATTTCCGAATAAAGTTGCCATGCGAACACCGATAGAGAGAGCGAGCGAGCGAGAGAGAGAGCTGTAGCGATGAACACAGGAGTCATAAACAGGTCTCAAGTCCGCTGATTTCCGTAGACTCGACACTAATAATCTATGGTGTATAGTGTTAATTAACTTTCACTTTCGACATTTTTAGCTATACGTATGCACAAAAGGTGCGAGAAAGGGTATCTCAAAATTGGCATAAGCAAAATTGCTCACGTTTTGCGTTAATATTGGTTGCTTAGAGTTGCATTTAAGAGAGAAAACAGCTGTAAATTGAAAATAAAGTAAATTCCAAACAAAATTGTTTACTTACAAAGCAAGCGAATGGAAATAAAAAAATTTAAATACTTGAAAACAGGTAAATTTATTGTTTCTTTGCTTTTTGCTCCAATTATCTAATTAATGCTCTTAATTCACCAAAGCTCGTAATCAAGGCTGTATCATCAATCTTTCCACACGTCATCACAGATTGTTGCTATCATTGATAAAACGCAAAGAATCACCAAATGATAAAAACTCGGAACTTTACGGATAGATGTGAGATATGAGGAATATATCCGTTTTAAGATATATTTTGTGAAAGTTGAGTTGGCTTTTACCTTGAATTTTAGAAACTGATGATATTCTTCATATATCTGTAGTAATGTAGAAATAAATAAAATAAATATAACACGATTTATATAAGGCATAATTTGTAAGTCGACAATTCTCTTTTCGTTCACAATCAGTACCATAAGCTCCCTTGACTTTCCTCCGGTTCTTTGTTGGGATAATTTCTCGAACTTCAATTTTCTTTCCTTTTGCATTTGTGGTCCGTACTGAAAACGTCCAAACCTGAAAAAGAGGTAAGAATAAAAGAAATGCAAACAACATATTATCATAATTTCTGACAATTTACTTTTCATCGTGCCGCTATGTGTTTATGCGATAAATCTACTGAATTTAGCTCCTTGGATAGCTGCTCATAAAAGCTATTCAACCATTCACGTCCTTGGGCAGTGCGCCGGTTGAAATTTGTGGTCATGCCTAGGCGGCACGTGATGAAAAACAGCATTGCCTCAACTTGTTCTTTTCAATTGACCTGTAAGTATCAATGATTACTGAAAAGAATTTGTGGAAACGGCCAAAGATATACTCACGTATAGTTCCATTTCTTGACGATAAATCACTACTCATTTGTGCTTAATATCGCGCGAACTCACTTCGCAAACCACTTTCTTGAAATGATGAGTTCTTCCTGCGTCTTTCCATTATGTATTTATAGTCAAAATTTGCCTGCATCTTGTTATTGGAATTTCAAGTCAATCCATCCGGCATAACGTGGTGGAGTATTCACTCCGGTGCGAAAACCAATACAACTCATTAGCTACAATTTTTTATTTTTTTTGTTTTTTCTATTACTTAGTACTTCAATTTATATCACATAGTTTCGTTTTTATTTACGTTTATATCCTTTTGGTATTGATTGTGTTATTGTAAACAAACAACCGTCAAATTTGCCCTCATTTTGCAATTACTTTTTAAAAATTAATTTCGAATAACAAAAGGCTTACATAACTTCCAAGAAAATGGTTCTTGAGGTACGCTTTTCAAATAAGAGCTGAAAGCCTAACTAAAGGATTCATAATTAATGCGCCGCTTTTGGCCGTAATGATTGGCAAAAGTAAAATTGTAAAATTGCGGGTTCGAATATTGTAATTTAATGGACTCTTTAAAAGGCGTTAGAATTCAATTGAACGGTAGCGGCAAAGTTTTCTAAATAATTCTGCTTGAGAGGACTATGTTTTTTATCTGACAAATAAAGATGAGTTTGTTGAAGTCGGAGCAATATCGAATCGACATGAATGATAAGTTTCATGGAGCTTGAGTATTAATCCGTTGGAATCTTTTTCTTCGCCAAATTAAATAAGAAAAGAAAGGAAGTTTCACTTTCTGGAAAAAAACAAATGTTCCTCTTCGTTGATCAAGGCTTACAGCATGCTTGTAAAGTGGATCGACCGAACCGAAGCAAAGTCATAACATTTCCTCCAATAGATGGATGGATGAAATTGTGTAATTTTCGTAACACTAACCGCATCAACCTCTACAATGACATGTGTAAAACATGGCAGTCTATAGATATTTAAAAAATATAGTATTTTCCAGTGTGCTACTATTATAAACCTTTTCAAGATTGTGAAAAAATTCGTGGCGCTTTTGGTAAGGAGACACTTTATCAAAACGAAGGTACGCAAACGCTGGCAAAGCGGGAGTTGAAGCCATGTAAAGAAATATTTTAGATTCGTTGGGATTAGGAGAGAATCACGCATCATGAGCTATTCCAGACAATTAATTCGTATTTTCTACTTTTAGCGACTAGTTCCGAGTAAAGTGCGCAATTCAGGTAAAGTGTGTGGAGTGAATCAATAAGAAAAGCGTCATCTTCCATCATGGCAAAGCAAGATTGTCGCAAC